GGTAACCAGGTATCCATTTGGAGTCTCCAAGTGGCCTTTTGGAAAGGACGCCTAGACTTTTCTTGAATAAAAGCTTACAGGAACTACATTTTTGGGAGTATCTTCCTCAAATTTGAATCAAAACATGGTCAGACATTCAGTTTTATCTTAATGGTGTTTTCAAGGCCTTAACATAAAATTCTGATACATTTTTCCCTAAATGAAGTTTATTCAAAGAAATCGTGAATCAATTTCATGTATATTTTACCTTGTTTTACTCTGTTCCTATGCTACTTTGAGTTATAATGACTCTTGGGTAACAAAGTTTCAAGTGTCTAGTTTAAAAAAATATCAGAGTTATGAATGTGGACCATAGGGTTCAAGAGCTACAAAGATTTGTATTTGGGTATGTCGTTTTCAGAAAATTCTCAAAAATAGGGGCGCTGGTTAAGAGGTTAAAATCATGTAGTGTGAACAAGGCTTAACTTGTAAGACTTTCATTCGTCTTGAAACACAAATGAAGATCTTTGATGAAATCTGAGAGCTTTCTGTCGCTCCACTGACAGTCCACGCAACTTCCACAAAAAGTGCATAAAGAGATTGTAAAAACAATCCATGTGTCGAACAGTTTAGTCCAACGCGAAAATAATCCTTATTGGCTCTCGCACATCAACTTCCATTATCCACAACTGATGTGTGAGTTGATGAATATGAAATAAAAGCCTAACTTCAATCTGTTCATATAAAGTGATTGTGTCTCTTCATGGACATTTTTGGACTAACCCGCTCAGTTTTTTAATGCCTGTATGAACCTTTTGAAGCATCAAAGTGGAAGTTGTGTGGACTGTCAATGGAAGGACGCAGGACAGAAATCATTGAGATTTCATCAAAAAGATCCTCATTTGTGTTCCAAAGATGAACGAAAGATTTATAGGTTTTGACTGACATTATGGTGAGTAATTACTGACAGTTAACCCCAAAAATGAAAGTTCGGTCCCTTTAATGAGTTTCAAGAAATTTTTTTATTCGTTATCATTTTAAACTGAATTGATTTAATTCCCAACCCAAATGTTATGTGAGGAACTATTAAGTTGAGCGTTTCGGTGAAACTAAATCAGCAAAGAAAACTCAAGCTCACCTTCTCGCCTTCTACGACGTCAAACTCCACAGTCTCTCCATCCCCAACGCTACGAAGATATTTCCTTGGATTGTTCTTCTTAATGGCGGTCTGGATACAAAGCAAAAGCAATCAGAAAACACGTCGTCCCCCAAAAACCAATCTGGTGCAATCAGAGCAAATAATTACCTGGTGCACAAAGACATCTTCCTTTGTGTCATTCCTGTGAAATTTCAGAGTGAAATGTTCATAATTGAGGACAGATGGAGCATAAACAAGCACGCAGAGTCGAAGAGCAAGTTAAATATTTGAACAAATAACAGCGTGCAAGTCAGGTCTAGCTTTATAAGCACATAAACGTTGTAATAGGATTGTGGATGTTCCCTGACCCACATATTATATTAGAGAGTCTTTAGAGGCTGAATGATATTTACCTGTTGATGAAACCGTAGCCGTTCCTTACATTGAACCATTTAACTGTCCCCAGGACTTTTGTTGCTGCAAAGAGAAAACCACAGACAGATTGTTTAGGTAGATCAACGAGTGTAAAAAACAACAACAGTACTTTTTTAAGAATCAAATTACTACAGTTGACCGGAAAAAAAAAATGCATTAACCTAGCAAAGCCATTTAAACGTAACTCTTTGTGAGTGGAGTTCATTTTGTGTCTTCCATTTATAACCTCCAACTGTGGTGCTTTTAATAGACTGTGATGCAAAAGCAGCTGCTCTTATCAGAAGAACCACCATCACCATGAAAGGATCTGACCCTCAAGAGCTCACATTATTGACATCTTATTCCAGTTATGATAAGTGACATGCCAATTACAGAATTAAAAGAAAGACGAAATATAGACATTACAAATGGTTTAAAACAGGGTTTTTCAATCTGGGGTTGGGGCACCCCCAGGGAGATGGTGTAAAAATATAATCAATTAAACATCTAACAGTACTGTACTATATTAAGTAGAAAGATAATAGAAGAGTAGTTTCCAAATATATTTTACACATTTATATTTATTTATTTTTTCCAGTGTAAATTGTGTCTTTAGAAATGAAAACAAATGGTTGCTTTTTTTTTTTTAAGATGTGTGGATGGGAGTCCTTTGCACAATGATATTCATTTCTGGGGTACTGTGGTAGTTATAAGATGGAAAAATTGCTGAGGCAAAATAAAAATGTTGCATGAGACTGGAAAAGAAGCATTGTGAGATTATAAACTAGCTCTGAGTCTTACAAATAAAAACTTTGCAATGCATTAAAAAAATCTCTTTGTTATGAACCTGTTGGTTTTATTTCACATTTCCCTGACAATCATTCCCAAATCCATTAACATAAAAAGCCCATTTATTACAGAAATAGGAATCAACACTGATGGTGATAGGAATTACAATGAAAAATAAATAAGAAAATTTGCCTAATTTTCCCAAAACTGTTACAATACAAACAAATCGTTTTAAAATGACCTTTAAACGTATTTGTGTGAAAGAGGACCAGATGTTGGTTCAATAGATTCGGTTTATTAATAAGCACATTCATTTGCCCAATGTGTTGTTGAAGTAGGAAGTGATGATGTTGAGATGCTAGCTGCAGTTAGCACATTAGCCTCAGACATGTGGCCGGATTGAAGCCAAACAGCCCTGATCCTCCATCCTCACTACAGGACACGATACACACTACGACAACACATCTTTATGTTTAGATCTAGATTTGACCGGCGATTAGCGTTTCGAGTTAAACGTCCGAAGCGCTCTGGGTTTGTATCAGCAGATCAGACAAAAGAAGCGTCCATCATCCAAACACCATGGCGGACATTTTATATCTGGTGTTGCGAGACTGATATATAGGTTATCCTGGTCCACAGTACTATCGTTTTGTTACCCATACAATAAATCGCCTATCGGAGGATGGGATCTTCCGGGGACGGCGTTGATGGTGTTAATAGAGATGAGGACACGTATGCACGACGCGTCAAACGCACGAACAAAGGGAAAGAAAGCGAGCGCTTAACCTGGTTTACCCAAGAAACCAACACTCAAACTAACTTAATCCTTTAGGTTTAAAACCGACGTGGTTCGCACTGGTCGCGAAAAAATGGACTCGTGTGAGTTTTATACGAATAGCTCAATTATCTGGGTCATCTTCTTGTCACGCTCAAGGCCAAGATCAAGGGGCAGTTTCATTGACAGCCTTTATCAGTAAACAAATGCGTATATTTACAATTAAATAGCCGTATTGGGGGTTTATGGTGTCGTAAATAACAACGACAGCGGCTCTATCCCGATAGTAGGTTAGTTCTATAAAGAGAGAACCGCGTTGTGACTCTTCTTCAATTTAGTAGGCCGCGGGGTCGAGCACACGCGTGTCATGGCGGTTATCGATTCACACGCGGATGTGTCGGAACGCGGCACGCGAGCGAACATTTAAACTTACTGAGACCGTTTGACATATAAAGTTCAACTTATTTAAATCACATTATGTATAACATAGACGGGGTCCGACAACTCCATAAAGATTCTAGACAGGTAGCCACGGGTATACAGCAATACTAGTAAGTTTGATTCTGAATAACGACACAACACAGTCGCGGTGAGGCCACACACTTTCCCTGACTGAAAAATCCGTTAACGTAAAACTGTAACGTTAATCCAAACTTGAAGCGTCGACGCATGAAAGATATACATTATTTTGAAGGAACGAAAACCGTAGGCCATGGGTCTAATGCTTACCGATGACCTTCTTATCCCCCGCGGTAGCTGCGGCTGCCGGGCTGGACGGGCTCTCCACGTCGGCGGCAGGCTGCGGCGGCTGCTGCTGTGTTTCGGCCTCGCTGCTCATGTTGTTTTCTTGTTGTTAAAGCCGGCGGTGGCTCTCTAGTGTGTTTTTTTTCCCGGTGCTAGATGGTAACCTGGGCCGGCGGTGGTGGGGGCTGCTGCCTTCGGGCTCTCCGCTTTCCTTTCTCCGCTCCCGTTGCCGATCGAACTGGACGGACTGAGTAAAGATGCCGGACGATATTCTGTCACATCTCTCCACCCATTCCTCAATCCAATTGGTCGGTTAACTTGTGACTTGTCAACGTAAATTATTTCACTGATGCGTATTGGATACAATTACTGTCAATCAAATGGAAATAACATTAAGTTTAGCCATGATTGGTTAGATTTTTTTAAAACACCGCCCAGAATTCAAGACCCCATTTCACCTTCCAGACATTCTCACACACACACACTCACTCACACACACACACACACATATATATATATATATATATATATATATATATATATATATATATATATAGGCTATGTAAAACCCAAACAAAAAGAAATTACTGACGAGAACATGAACGATGCTGTACATTTCAGCTATTTTAAAAAGCAATTTAAACATTGATTCCCTAAGTCATGACAATAAAGCTATTTTGAATTGAATTAAGTACAAAGTTTATAAAATATGATATAAATTAACTATACAATCAAAAATTATATATATATAAAATATAATTTATACATCAATATGTATATATATATATACACACACACACACACATATATATATACACACACACACATATATATATACATATATATATATATAAATTATATAATTTTAATTGTAAATTTAATTTATATCATATTTTATTAATTTATAAAAATATGATATTTAATTTATATCATATAATATTAATCACTTAGTATTGCAATACTATTAATCACTATTGCAATACTATTTTATTATTGCTATATTGCATATTTTTTTTCTTTCTATTTGTTTGGTATACAAAGCAATATATCATTAAAATCCCATTTATATCTACATGTCTTCATTTAATACTGTCAAAACATTATCTCTCCAGCATTCGTCTCCCAAACAAAATATTTAACAGACACCAAACCAACAATGTGTAAACAACAAAAATAAAGCAGGCTTTATTCATCAGTGAGAGATTCTGTACAGGAATAGGGAATGGTTTCAATGTAAGGATGATGTGATTTTTTTAGATAAAGATAAATCCCATCATTGACTTCTCCCACAGCATTATAAAGGGAGCACTCAACGACCAGACCCTAGCTAGTTGTGAGACAGACCCAAACTACCCCCTTCCCCTTTGTCATGTAAATATGTTTTTTGCACTGTTGAGGAGACCTGGTTGAAGTGTGATTTTATTGTTAATGGCTCGGCCCTGTTGTCCCACACAAAGACAGGCTTTAACATTGACCCTAGAAGCCTCCCACCGAGCCCAAACTCTTCCTGCACTTCAGCTGAAAGAGCCCTTTTGTCTAAATGGGACATGGTCCAAGAGATGGGGGAAGGGGTTTCTGGGTTAGGATGTGGGTTAGAGTAAGTAACAATAAAAAGACAAAGGGAGTACACTCATAAGGAATTTGCATTGAGTGGCGTGCCCTTTAAAGAGTTTAGTATCATAAACTCGAAAAGGATCTTAAGATTCAGGAAATGTCCTGATTTCGATTCTCTCTGAATTTGAAATTAAAAAGAATGTTCCAAGCTTTAAAAAACATGGGTCAAAATTTATTGAACGATAAAAAAACCTCAACAAGGCCCTTTTAAAAGGCTGATCAACAATAAAGAGCCTTGTTCTTCAGAATGTATAAAGAATACATGTTTGTTTCTATCTTGAATGTCAAGTTTGTCTTTTATGGACATTTGCAAGTGACATGAGCTAATCATGATGGCGACTTCAAACCTTCACTTCTGTTGTAATTAACATTGTACAAAATAAAACAACCTTGTTGAACCAATCATTTTCCGCAAATAATCAATTAATCCCACAAAATGACAACAAAAATTTCAAAAGGATGTGATATGCAAATGGACATCATGAATGGTAAGTCATCCAAAATGGCTTGTCTATTAAGCAGAGGTCATGTGTCTTTGTTGATGTGTAACAATACAAAATATATCACATTTCTCCACACTGGGCAATGACAATGGGCAGCTTGGGCTTGTTGTTGGGTCCTGTTGGTACATTCTGTAATGGAAAATTAAGGAGAAAAACGATTTATGACAAAAGAAGCACTCAGGTTCCAGGTCTATTTATCTGACATTTTCTATTTATCTGACTATAGATGTAGTTTTATTATTATCATTTTATTTTAAGAGTCAGCCGGCTGCATTTTAGTGAATATTTTTAGATTTATTTTCTCTTGGTTAAACACTCAAAGAAACCAATTAAAGGGTTAGTTCACCCAAAAATGAAAATTCGGTCAGTATTTACGTAAGACCTTCGTTCATCTTCGGAACAGGAATTAAGACATTTTTGATGAAATCTGAGAGCTGGATCACTCCTCCATACTAGTCCATAGGCTTCTTGAGGAATTTAAACTTGCCGCCCTCGAAAAGTTATGAAAGACATCGTTAAAATAGTCCAAGTGACTACAGTGCCTCAATCTTAACTTTATCAAGTGACGAGAACACTTTTTGTGCGCAAAAACAAACAAAAATAACGACTTTATTTCAACTATTCACTTCCTTCTCTATGAGCCTCTAGTCAGTTAATGTAGTGTGATAGCGTAGAGCTATGTCACACGTAGGCTCACTATTGGCCGACGCTGGTCATGTGTGTGATGCGTGTGACGTACAATAACAGAAGCTTACGCTATTAAACTAAAGAATAGAGTGAAGTAAATGAATAGTTGAAATTAAGTCATTATTTTTTGTGCAAAAAAAGTATTCTTGTCGCTTGATAAAATTAATATTGAGCCACTGTAGTTACTTGGACTATTTTAAAAATGTCTTTAATAACTTTGAGGTCAGCAAGTTTCAATCCCTCAAGAAGCCTATGGACTAGTATGCAGGAGTGATCCAGCTCTCAGATTTCATCAAAAATATCTTAATTTGTGTTCCGAAGATGAACGAAGGTCTTACGGGGTTGGAACAACATGAGGGTGTGTAAATACTGACAGAATTTTCATTTTTGGGTGAACTATCCCTTTAAGTACTATGAATTCTCTCAGACTGTAATGGCTCGTTTCCACTGTGCGGTACAGTTCGGTACGCAATTATTTGTGTTTCCACTGTCAAAAGTTGAGAATGGTACCAAAAAGTGAACTGTACCGTACCACTTTTTGGGTACCCTTCCGTAGGGGTACCTAGCACAGTGGTACGGTACTAAAAGGTGGAGCTAGACTCGTGCAGAACGGTGATTGGTTGACAGAGTATCGTCACTCACGCGTGCTACAAGGGCATTAGAAGCATTCAGTTGAAATACAGTATAATACTACTGTTATTGTGTCATGAAATGTAGTTTTAAGAGTTTTCAGGCAAGAATGTAGTTTTTTAAAGCTCAAATCTGTGGTTTATTTATAGATTTATGATAATTTGACTGAGATCCATTCCAAGCAATCACCGGACGCTCGCGCCTCGGCGAGTCGTTCTGATGTTTGCCGCTGACTCTGACGTCTCTGTAGTGGTTAATCATGAGATATAATTCGTCTTGTATAGACCTAACAGGCGATCTTTGGTCGTTCCCCATTGACTATCATAGTATGTACTTTTTCCTACTATGGTAGTCAATGGGGAATGAGATCTGTTTGATTAAAACATTCTTCCAAATATCTTCCTTTGTGTATAGCAGAAAAAATAAACACATAGAGGTTTGGAACAACATGAGGGTGAGTAAATACTGACAGAATTTTCATTTCTGGGTGAACTAACCCTATAAGGTAAGTACTGACAAATCCCATTTCTTCATTCTCTTGCACACTAGTTAACTTTTAAATCTTCAACAGGATCACTAATAAATTCCTTTGAAAGGATTATGAAGCTTGAAATCAATCAACTTAAAACTTATCAAATTTCGTCTCACCTCAATTTTCCTCATGACGAGCAAACCATCCACCACTTTTCCTGTAAGGAAAACCCAAAGCAGTTAATGGTGTAACCAGTGACTGAGTTCTCTCAGTACAGAATCAACACAGGACTTCAGACTTACCAAATACTACATGCTTCCCATCCAACCAGTCACACTTTGTGCAGGTAATAAAAAACTGACAGCCATTTGTTCCTGGTCCACTGTTGGCCTTTCAAGGAAAAACAAACATTGACGTCTCGTTTGGAAACAGCACTGAATAAAGAATCTGAAGGGTAGATGGAGTGTGTATCCTATAATATCAATGTATATTTGTATTGTAAGTTTGCCTGACTTCTCAGGTGCTAAAGGTTGTCAGTTACTTTGTCAGGAAAATGAGAGACAAATTCTAAAGGTACATTTAACAGGCTTTCTATTATTATACTGTAGTGTTCTGTTTAAAGCATTTCTGTAGCCTCATTTGGCGAATCCCTCAAAATTGGTCAAGATTATGTCCAGGTCATGTTAAACCCAAAACCAAAAAAAAAAAAAAAAAGAGGTAACACTTTATTTTACAGTGCCCTTGTTACATTACTTGTACTTAATAACAGTAAATTATGCATTATTACATGCAACTAACCTTAAACCAAACCCTCTAGTAAGTACATGTTGTTAATTAATATTACTCAGTACTTAAAGGGATAGTTCACTTTGAAATTAATTTTTGCTATGTTTTAGCTTACCTCAAGGGCATCCAAGATGTTGGTGTCTTTGTTTCCGCAGTAGTTTCAATTTTGATATTTTTAGGTCAAACCGTTCTTGTCTCAGTCATATAATGGAGGTCTATGGTCACCACCTCAAAGAGCATGCACAGAGAAGTCCAAGTTAAACATGATTTAATGACTCGTAAATGTAAGTACACATTGATGGCCTAAGACACGAAACGAGCGGTTTGTGTGAGAAAACGAACAGTTTTTATATCGTTTTTACCTCTTGTAACCACAGCCACATCCAAGTATTCTGAAGGCACCGGAAAATGTATTTTATTTTATTTCGCGGTTGCGAAAAAAAAAAAAAATCTACGTTGTCTGTTAATATATTGAAATTGTCTTCCATTGCAATTCCCTGTATATCTAAATATGTTTAGATCTTTACAGTGAAGGGCAACACTTCGGAAATCTCTGTGTAAACAATGAGTGACATACATGTGCGAGAGATCACTTCCGGCACTTTCCGGCTCTTGCGCAGAAGACAGAAGCGCCCTCAGAGTACTTGGATGTGGCTGTGGTTACAAGAGGTAAAAACAATATAAATACTGTTCGTTTTCTCACACAAAGCGCTCATTTCGTGTCTTAGGCCATCAATGTGTACTTACATTTACGAGTCATTAAATCATGTTTAATTTGGACTTCTCTGTGCATGCTCTTTGAGGTGGTGACCATAGACCTCCATTATATGACTGACAGACAGGAACGGTTTGGCCTAAAAATATCAAAATTGAAACTACTGTGGAAACAAAGACACCTACATCTTGGATGCCCTTGAGGTAAACTAAAACATACCAAAAATTTATTTCAAAGTGAACTATCCCTTTAAATATATAATTACAATGTAAAATAAAGTATATAATTAGATATAAAAATAATACCCCTCCTTATTTGATTTTTTTCTGCATTATATTTGAGTGAAATGGAAAACCTAATTTTTGTCCACAAGATTTTGGGACACTGATGTTACAACAGAACTCTGACCGAGGGAATTTAAGCACTGTTAATCTAACACTGCTGATATGCTGGCATAATGCATACTGTAAAGGTACAGCACGAGTTTCTTTACAGGGTCATTTTGTATAAATTTACCAGTGACAGGAGTCCTGGGCCAGAGTGTTTCATTCTGAAGTTCTCATCTGCAAATGGTCCCCTGTAGATACTGCAGATGCCAGTGCCGTCACCCTGATGGGCAAAAATTTAGCATTTAAAAGCATTCACACTCAGAAGATCTGAATCACTCAAATTGTTTGGAACTACGTGTGAAGAAGACATAGCTGATGTGTGTCTGCAGTAGGTTCACATGACCACTAGAGGCATTTACTGACACAAGGAATGTGCTGGACTGACTGTAGGCTTCTTTTTTACAACACCACTTTATTAAAACGCTTTTCGCAAAGTCATAATCATAAAGACATTGCATGTGCAGAATACGGAACTCATATTCAAGGTGGAAAAACATTAAAATACACAATTTAGTGGTGCAGCTATATATTTACACGGCTGAAAACAGATTAAATTCTGTGCATCAATGAGATCTTTAGAACAGTATGATACTATAATAGCAGACTTTTTACAAAAATGAATTATATAAACATCAATTGTCACTGTATTTCCAAATATGTCTCAGTAAGATGAATTTTAAATGCTTAGTTTTTAGTAGTTTTTATTGTGGTGGAAAAGCATAAAATGAAATGCAATGATGATTGAGAGATGAACACACATTTTCCTCAAAAGCTTGATGCATCATATCTGATACTTTTATTTAAAAAAAAAATAATATGAAGAGTTCAGATGCAAAAGCCTCTAAGTGCCATTTGAAATTTTCTTCTAAAATGATCATTTTTATCAAGCTTGCTTGTATATTTAAGTTCAGTAATTTCACTTAAATGGCAATGAAGATTACCTATTAATTGTCATTTAAGTGAAATTACTGAACTTAAATATATAAGCTTGATAAAAGTGGTCATTTTAGAAGAAAATTTCAAATGGAATTTAGAGGCTTTTGCATCTGAACTTATTATATGGATTATCAAGAAAACCTATCCTTGCTTCAGTCCCGTAAGTGTTCATCTTAAAATATTAATAAATAATTTAAAAGTAATGATTATGTTCACTTTATAAAAATCATTAAAGATTGTTCATACTTACAATGAACTAAAATATTTGAAAACAGAAATTTGCAGAAAGATATCAGTAGATCACTGAAAAAAAGTGCGGGAATTATTTTTCGACAGAGTTATAATTAACTTTAGGTCACAAATGCTGTCATTTGAGCTTAACTTCTACACAACTTAGATACATAGTGCTGCATTGTGGTTGCTGCTGTTTGTTCCCCCTCCTTTCTTGTTCTGTCTCACCCGCTTCTCAGAACGGACCCGAAGTTAAAGGGATAGTTCACTTTGAAATTATTTTTTGGTATGTTTTCGCTTACCTCAAGAGCATCCAAGATGGTGTCTTTATTTCCGCAGTAGTTTCAATTTTGATATTTTTAGGTCAAACCGTCCGTGTCTATCAATCATATAATGCAGGTCTATGGTCACCACCTCAAAGAGCATGCACAGAGAAGTCCAAATTAAACATGATTTAATGACTCGTAAATGTAAGTACACATTGATGGCCTAAGACACGAAACAAGCAGTTTGTGTTAAATGGTTTTTACCTCTTGTAACCAGAACCCCTCATCACTTAGACGTGGCTGTGTGGTTATATAAATACTAATATAAAATAGTTATGTAAAAACAATACAAATACTGTTCGTTTTCTCACACAAACCGCTCGTTTCGTGTCTTCAATGTGTACTTACATTTAGGAGGCATTAAATCATGTTTAATTTGGACTTCTCTATGCATCAGGTGGTGACCATAGACCTCCATTATATGACTGAGACAAGAACGGTTTGACCTAAAAATATCAAAATTGAAACTACTGTGGAAACAAAGACACCTACATCTTGGATGCCCTCGAGGTAAGCTAAAACATACCAAACATTAATTTCAAAGTGAACTATCCCTTTAATTCATCTTTGCTGATGACTGGTAAGGTAAGGCAACAGCCAGACCTCTGGGAGGAGCTCTCTGCATGTTTGGCTGTTTCTCTTGTAGTGTGTGGAGCAGTACTGGGCTCGTGATTGGTCTACTAGTACAGTGGTTCCTAAATCAGATCCTCGAGTCCCGCCAGCTCTGCACATTTGTATGCAGCCCTAATCAAACACACCCGATTCAACTTGTCAGCTCACTAATAGACTAAAATTTGACTTTTCATATCCACCTTTTTCCTAACAAGCCTACTGTGTTTAAGATTATGGGAGGATATTCTATAAAAAAAAAAAAAAAACAGAAACAAATCATTTAAAAGCATAATGTTGCACTACAAATAATCCTTACCCATCAGTTTGACTAAATAAATGTTCAAGAGAGTAATGTAACGCTTGGTATTTTAATGTGACGTGGTGCAACAACACCAACAACACTTCCTGATTATTTCCTTTGCATTCTTCTGTAACACTATGAAAAAAAATACAACATATTTTGTGGTCTGCTTTCTGAAAATTTAATATAGAATATATTCATTAATTATTGACTGGACTGCACTAAGAATGTCTCGTTTTTCTCCCCAAATCCTCACTTCTCTTTCCAGGTTTGTTTTCACAAGGATGCTTTAAAATGTAATTTTCCCCCTTTTCATTTCCAATCTGTTTCAGTGTTTACTGGAATATTTCTAAAGCAGGTAAATACAATATTTACTGTCAGTCACAATGACGGAGAGCACTTTGAGTTATTGTCACTCAATGTTCCAGTTAAAGAACATATTTTATTAAGGCAGAATAAATCTAAGGCACTTTATATTGCACAATAATCATGCTGTCTAATCAGCATCTTGATATGGCACACCTGTCAGGTGGATGGATGATCTCGACAAAGGAGAAGTGCTCACTAACACCGATTTAGACAGATTTGTGAACAATATTTGAGAGAAATAGGCCTTTTGTGTACATAGAAAAAGCCTTAGATAAGCTCATTACATAACAAAAGTTTTTACATAAAAAAAGCTCATAACAAAAGTATTGCGTTTATAATTTTGATCTGTGTATTTATTTATACGGTCACATTTAATGTCTGTAATATTGATGTGGAAATAATCAGGGGTCTTTTAAAATGCTCTTTTAATGTTCGATGGTTGAGGGGTGAGTAGAATATCATCTCATTGTACGCCGCCGCTTTTAAAAATGCCCGTGCATTGCGTTATAGAGCGAATCTTTCGCTGATTGTTTACTCCCATTATTCACGTGAAGAGTCATGGGCCGTAGGAAACTGCGGATAAGGGAGGCATACAAAATGTGCACTTTTGGCAGATCCACTGAGTGTATAATAAACACTTTTTGGAAGTATTAATCTGACTTGGCAAACTTTATTCTTGCTTTAGGGTTGTATTTAAGGCGTTTAAGGTATACATTCTATTTGTACATGCATTCCATGGGAATCAAACCCATGACCTTAGTGTTGCTAATGCCATGCTCTGCAATGTTTGAGCTACAGGTAATTTAGTTTTGATAGCTAGTTATTTATGCTTGTTGTTGGCCTTGCTTCACCCTAAAATTTAAACAATTTGGTATTAGTTTAAGAAATAGTGAAAATGTAAAAATAATTTGCCATGTCAGAACTTAAAAATTAATGTATATTGATTTTAAATTGATTTAAACCTGTCATGTTTTTTTTTTGTTTTTTTTTACATCAGCTCTTCCTTGATCTACAGACAATGTCAGAAATAGTTTGCCTGTGTATTAATAAATACAAAAGCTGGATTACTGCAAATATAAGGGCACACAATTATTTACCTGTCTATAACGACACATCCTTATCTGATTTGATGGGCGTCATGCATGGCAGTCAGTACACAGAGTGTAAACAATGTTTGCATATAAAAACAAACTTCTATAATGTCAAACAAGCGAAACACCTGTAAGAGAAATTCAACTCCATTGTCTGGATCGAAAGGCAAAACTTACATTGACAAAATCGCCACCCTGAATCATGAAGTCCTTTATCACCCTACCAAAAGAACAGAACATAAATAAGAATTAGTGTGATGGACATTATGATTTACAAGCAGGTTGAAAATAAAAAAATAAATAAACATAGGCAATTACCGGTATTGTGAGATTTTAAACCGTTTTTTTGTGACGTACACTTAAAGTAGTGTACGCAGCAACAGGGGCACTCATATTATGTAATTGTGAATTCTTGTCATTATATTTATTACATTGATTGTGATATACAACATTCATTTTTGTTCACTATAAATATTTGATCTGGAGGTAATATAGTGAAGGATTCTGGAATCCACTGCCGCTTCAATGTGTATCTTATAAGTGATTATAATCCAGGTACAATATTTTTCCTTCTAAAATATCAAATCAATTGAATGACTTCCAAGTATATGAGATTTATGTAGTTATAGAATTAAATGTCTGTTTAATGGAATAGACCTTATTCAGAGCAGCGCCATGACCGGTATGAAAGTGAGGCTGTGAGGGATAGACTTACCGTGTATCCTATGGCATCCGCTGTAAAAAGCTGAATAAAGCTCCCAGATTACTTACAATTTTCCACAACTAACATTGTCGGGAGTTTTTTGTCAACTGAAACTTCTTGGAAAGATATTTTTCCAGTGTTTCATGAGCAGAACAATCCGAAAACACATTAAATAACAGTACAGCCCATTGAAGAGATGCAAGTCTATCCCTCACAGCCTCGCTTTCATTCTCATTAAAAATCAAAGATGGCGCTGCCGTGAATAAGGCGTATGTGCACTCAATGTTAAAGAGGGTTAGTTCACCCCAAAATGAAAATGATGTCATTAATGACTCACCCTCATTTTTGTTCTAAGCCCGTAAGACCTCTTAAAGGTATCTCTTAAGATATCTTAAACCGTGGCCTCTTAATCTAAAATCTATTAGGCCTCTTAACTCTCTTATTAGTCACGAATCCAAACGTTTCCATGGCTGTGATGTAAAGTTTAATTGCTAACCTTTTATTTATTTTGTAATCAAGGCTTTGTGCTTTACAGCAGGGGTTGTCAACCGGAACAGCCCTAGATCTGAGTGGAAATTTGTAATGTCTAAATCAACAAAAGTCAAATATAAAAATGATGTTTCTTTGAAAACACATGTCATTTCTGACAAAGATGCTTTAAGCTGGGCTAAAGTTGATAGATAGGGTCTGATGCTACAAGTTTATAAATATGCAGTTACCAGTCCTGAATGCCCCAAGAAACTCTCTCTCTCATTCAAAGTCAGCTAAAAGCTGCTATCTGAGCCTGTGTCATAAGTGATAAGCTATTTATAGTAAAGCACAGTGTTTCAGTTGAAAATCAAAGACACGTAGATGTTAAAAGAAATTATTGCCATTAAGAGGGAAATTTGGAGTTAAATGTTTCAAAGTAAATCTAAAGGACTTTAAAGGTGCATTGCGCAACATTTCATGGTAAAAATAGCAATTTTTCTAACCCATACATGCTTAAACAATTGCCTGATGGGCTGAATGAGCCCTTCTCTGATCACTGCGATCGCCTCTATAATCCTGTATAGTAAAAGAAATAAGAGGGATTTGAGACTGGGCGTGACGTCATGCGCGTTCACGCTCGCCTGGCTATGTCTGGCAGGTTTGTGTATTCGCCGCCATTCTGCGTATCAGCAAAGACAACTCGAGCAACAGAACTTTAGTCAACTTTCCACAAAAGTAAAAGATGGATTCAAACTCCACGTAAGACCAAAAATAAAAATAAAAAAATACAACTTTTGTCTAGTGCCAGGCGTCGTAAAGTTGACGCAAGTCAACATCGAGATGGCTTTCAACAAATTGAGAGATCTCCGGTCTGTTCTAGGACTCAAATGGGACCCTATACAAAGAAATAACTTATATTGTTCATGAACGTGTTTCCATAATAATTAGGGGTGTCCATGGTTAACCGGTTAACCGATTAACCGTTTAAAATTGGATAACCGAGTGAAACCTTTTTGCTCGGTTAAGTGGCGTCAATACATATTTGCACAAAACTTTTGCGGGTTTTTTTTTCTGATTGTCGATAAAAAAATATTGTGAAATGACAGCGTTTCTATTAACGGTGTTATGAGACTAAAACGTTTTTTTTTCCTTTCGCGATAAGCCATTCCAAAAATAATGGCAACGGACGTTGGTAGTCTATCACAGCCACCGCACTAAACATTATTATTATTTATAAAAGGAGACGTGGTGTGTCATCCAAGCATTAAGGGAAAGTCGCAGAGTTTCTGTGTCTTTCTCCCTCATTTCTGCTCCGCGGTCTTGATTGTGGCATTTCTTTGAGGTTTTGTCTAGTAGGCTTTTCCTTGTATCCGTAATGAATTTTAAAAAAGAACTCTGCCTCGTATATGTCCAAACGGTCAGTGTACTTTTGCGTTCATTCGTTTCCCCTTATTTAATCCGTAGGCCTAATTGCAAAACGAAAAATGAACGGTTGTTGTATTTTGTAAAACGCAGAGTTGAACACCAAAATGTTCATTTGAACTGTAGGACTACGTCAAATGCTGCGCAAAAATATATAGGCTATATATCGACGAATTTTCTGATTTATGTTTGATTTTTTTTGCCCCTTTAAACATTTAAAATATTTGACAAATGAATATGGAAAAAAAAATATTTTACTGGTTTTCTGAGGCCAGATTAGAACCTGGAAATGATTTTCCCCGCAGTGCTGAATGAGAAGAGCCGTAACCACAGCCTACAGAAAGGGGATTTAGATGATTTATAAGACATAATAAATGTGTCTGATAATAAAATAATATAACATAACGAGGCATTAATTGTTTATTAATAAACTGTTGTTTTCTAAATCAGTTTCTGCTAAAAACAAATCTCCATCCCCGGATGCACCTTTAGAGAGAAATACATAATTAGCTGACTACATAATTACATAGTCAGAAGATATAGATATTGGCTTTCGATACGAATTTGTTCGTTTTAAATTGGACATTTAAAGCTTTAGTCTACAAAAGCTTTAAATGTCCAATTTAAAACGAACAAATTCGAATGCGGTGGCTGTTTCAGTTCTCGCGCTCCAGTTCACGGAGATCATGAAGCGCGCCTGTTTGTTAAAGCACAACGTTTTCTTGTTATTGTGAGTTTACGCAAATAAATGTATTATTATTTTCTGTATGACCAGAAATGAAAGAGTATTTTAAGTTGTTTCCACTGAAAGAACTGCAATGAAACTGCAAGTGTTCACATGGGCGTCTCGCAGCCTGCACAAAGCACACACTGGATATGCGTCAAAATATTGTGTTTATTTGTGCTTTGTTCCTTTTTTGGATAAAAGCATCTTCTACATATGCAGCCTAAAAAAATGTTACAATAATGATGATTATTATTATTATTTGCGGATACGGAGTTTTTGCGAAATGGACGTGTTGCCAATGTGCGTACTTTCAATGGGCAATTTCAGTTTGAAGGGTGATGGAAACGCGCCTACTTTAACTGCTCTGAACTTACAACTGCGTTTTATTTCTATGAATTAATTTCGTTTCAAATGGGGTCCAACCAGTTATTAAAGGTGTTAAAAATTAACTCTGTATCTCGAGGTTGCGGCGCGCACATGGTTAACCAAGTATTAACCGATAAGGGCCTCGGTTAATGAAAAACTTGAAAAGGTGCAGCCCTAATAATAATACAATCATAAGTGGATACAGTAAGCACATTCAACATGGAGATAGATGGAAACAAAACCCGAACCCACTACCCTCGTTTTCCCCTCACACACACATAAGTGTGTAATTTACTCAAATGCCTTTCCTTTCATTTATCTAAAATGACTAACAGATTTATAACTTTATTACCTCTGAAGACATTATGACTGTAACAAAAGATTTGTGTGGCTGATGCTCGTTTGGTTATGAACAGCTCGTGTAAGTGTGTGGCACACCTCTGGTTGCAGTTTCGCTTGTTGCCAGAGAGGGCGTAGTTCTACAAAAACACAGAGACTTGCGCAATGCACCTTTAAGGATTTTTGACTAATTTATTCTACGACCAGTACGTTTTCTTTTGTTTTTGTTTTTTGTCATCTTAGTCTCCACCATGATCCAGAGCTAATAGCTCTGGTTACAGAACAATACTCTGAATGGATGGGTGTTATGACAAAATACACGGAGTATAATCTCAACATTGCTATGTAGCTGCTCTAGGGAGTCTAGTAGATTTTAGTGATTAAATACTGCTGTAATTATCCGGTCCACAACTAGATGCAACTATGACAGGACACACCCTGAGGAAAAGCAGATTATAGATAAAGAGCTAATGGCAATGGGCTTTCAAGAGTCAGCTCAGCTGAGACCATTAGGTGACTATCATTAATTCCTGTGTAGACCATGCTCCTCATATAAATGAATTTGTTTTGCTATGATGTTGGTTGCCTTATGGGCTAGAACTGTATAGAAGTTTCAGATTCAGCATTACTATAAGAGTTTTCACTCCTGCTGGTCATTAGACATGACAGCATAATTTCAAGACATGGTGGTGGCTAAAGATGACGACCGCTTTTGCCGATTCAAGAGAAAATCTGGAGAACAAAGGTGAAGTGAATTCAGCATTTAAACTAAAGATATCCGTATAAAGGTTCCTAGCATAATATATTTTAGTCGTAAAAAAAAATTGAGTTACAAATTTAGATTTTAACCTTAGTAAATGATTAAGGGTTATATACTGTAATGAATTCAATATTATATTCTGTAAGTTTTTTAAATGAGCGATTGTTTCGCTTAATAAGACCCTTATTCATCGTCTGAAATAGTTTAAAGCCCTTTGAACAGTTTGCACTGAAACTGTCTTTTGGACCTTGAACCGTTTGGTTCCCATTGAAGTCCATTATATGGAGAAAAATCCTGGAATGTTTATCAAAAACGTTAATTTCTTTTCGACTGAAGAAAGTATGACATGGATATCTTGGATGACATGGGGGTGAGTAAATTATCAGCAAAAGTTTTTTTTAAAGTGGACTACTCTTTTTAAGTGCTTAGATGGAATATTATGGGTTTGTCTTTTTTTTTGCACTGTTCATTTTTAGTTAGACCATCATTGTGTTTTGAACCCAAAAATGGCCTGCAAGGGGTGTGGTGTGTCCCGGTTTGGATTGTTCATGTCATTGTCATGTCTCGTCATGCGATTCCTTGTTTGCCATGTGATCCCTCCATGTGTTCCCTTGTCTGATGTGTCATTTTGTAATTGGTTCATTGTTCCCATGCATCTCTTGTCTTGTCATTAATCTTGTGTGTATTTAAGCCCTCATGTTCGCCTTATCTCTTTGTCAAGTTTTGTTTCCTTGTAACCACTGTTGGTAAGCGATACGTCCATGGTTTTGGGTTCGTTCGTGCCACAACATGTTTTTGTTTCATGTTTAGTTTTGTTTGTTATAAACTGCACTTGGGTTTTTCTTTACAACTTGCCTTCAGTGGAAAAGGATCCACTTCACATAGTGAAAGAAGTGGATTAAAGGTGGAATACCTAAAATTTTTGCATTAAAATATACCAAAATCACAAGGCCAGTGTTATATATTTAGTTAATATTCCAAATGTTTCAAACAATGTTTAAATCGCGAGAAAATTGAGATTTTAACCAAGGAAACGGGGCGTGTGAGCAGAGGTGAGCTGGGAGTCGCGAGTCAATCGCGTCATATCCGCTTACCTCGGTTTCCGCTCGTACTACGTGTAGTCCTGGACAAATGCGGTAGTTGTAGTTGTGCGTTAGCGTATATCAAGCAACAAACGTAAGCTTGTTTCGCGCATTTGTTATGGAATGGTGCACAATTATTCTTTTCATTTTTTCTTTTAGGAATGTGAACTGTTGGCTGTAAAGGGGGTCGCACACCGGACGAGAAGCGCCGCGCCACGTTTAGGACAACTCCACAGTAACGTTATCGAACACCGGACGCGCACTTTCTCATCAGTGTATGGCCAGAAATATTGTTATGTTTAATGACAGGAAATGAAGATAATGTCTGTTCTATGTTATGATTGTACTGTACAATTAAATACAATCGTTGCTGAGTCTGCATTCTGAAAACTTTACCTCAGATCATCCGTTAACTGAATGAATTGAGAATCTCACCTGAAAAATCTAATAACATCAGCAATTGTCATTCAAGCAGCTGATTTCTGTAAATGACTGCAAAACTAAATGCATATTGAAGCATAGGGCGAAGTCAGGATCCATTAGCAACGATTTGAGACAAAAATAATTAAAATTTTATACAAAACTATGTAAATGGCGCTCTGTGGCGCAGCAGGTTTTTGAACACGGTCCTGAAGCGTTGCTGGGCACCGCGGACAGACGCTGAATGGCGCCGCCGGTATGTTTACACTTATAGATTGTTCGAATTTTAAATATGTGGTGCGACGCGGCGCTGAGCTTCTCGTCCGGTGTGCAACCCCCTTAACGTTTATTTTGTGAAACTGTAGCTGTGGCTAAATACTTACACGACATGAAAAGATGTGTCAAATGTACATGATTTTTTATTTTTATAAAGTTACCAAAAAGGAGGACCAGCCACGTCAACTCCTTGCAAGAGACCTGCCCCTTCAAACCCTCTCCACCATAGCTTCATCCAGTGACTCGTACAGTAATATCTGTGATAACTAATTTACTTTTAAACCTGACTTCTCTTGCGGTTATTTCAGTTTAAGGAAAAACAAGCATGTCATTAAACGCAACATTTATAGAAATCGAACTTTACCTCATCCATGACAACTAATTTTCGATTCCTGTCTGACTGATTTATCCACGGTGGAGTTGAAAACAACAGTTCCCATAATTCCGCGTTCCTCCACGCCGTCATCAAGCAAAGCCGTTGTTGTTGTTTTGAATGTAGCGCCCTCTAGCGGCATCTAAATCTTAGGTATTGTAGCTTTAATAAATGCATCTTGTTGTATCATATAATAAATTGGAAATTATAGTTTAAAAAAACAGCAACAACAACAAACAGTGTATATATCCTTCCCCAGGAGAGATCATTCATCTAATATTTTGAGCAGCCTCAATTGGTAGACCAGATGTAGACCCCAAATTGGTCTTTAAGGGGGGACTGAAGAGGGTGGATTCTGGAATTCACTGTCGCATCAATGCATATCTAATGAGTGATTATAATCAAGTTATTAACATTTTTCCTTCTAATGTTCAATTGAGTTTATGAGCTTATGAGATGTATGCATGTAGTATATAAAATGGTCTTCACTCATCATATCTGGTCCTGGGTCTTTAACTGTTTTATCCCCAACAATAGGAGGGCGGTGGAGTGCCACTGTCCTGCAGAGTCTAACTCTAAAACACCAGCCTGGAAGTTTCTAATAATCCTGAAGACCTTTATTAGCTGGTAAGGGTGTGTTCAAATAGGGTTTGAGCAAAAGCGTGACTTGAAAACTACATTATGATAGTACTGTTTTGAATTGCAAAACATCATTCAAGGTGTGTTTGCATTGAAACTTTGATCAATGAAAAAAAAAAATTACTAAACATTTAAATACTGTCTGCAGGACATAGAAATAAAAGCCAAAGCATTATACTTAGAAGTATGGATTTGAACAAACGGTCCCACTTTATATTAAGTGGCTTTAAGTACTATGTACTTACATTGAAATTAATAATTTGATACAATGGACTTATTGTGTACATACAAAAGTACATTGTACTTACATTTTAAATTTCCAGCATGTAATTACAGCTATAATTAATTTATGTAATTACATTTGTAAATAAACAGTTGACCCTCCCCTCACACCTTAACCTACCTTTATACCGACCCATACCACCACACCTGTCCCTAACCTTACCCGTATCACACCTCAATAGCAGCAAGTGATTTACAATACAGCAGGAACACAATAATACATTGTACTTATTGTTCAATGTAAGTACATAGTACTTAAAGCCACTTAATATAAAGTGGGACCGAACAAACTTGAGCAACAACAACAAAAATTGACAGCAAATATTCACAATAGGGTTCAAATCTGGACTCTGACCAGGCCAAAACATGAGCCTGATGGACTTGTTCTCAAGCCACTTCTTGGTTGTCTTTCCAATTTGGCTAGGAGCATTGTCTTGTTGAAAAATAACATCTGATCATTCCTCTTTAGATAACTTTTCATCTGTGGAAAGCAAGCCATTCTGCAATATGTTCCATACTCCAAAGTATTAAATGATGTTTCACAGTGAAGCAGCTCACCAATACCAGAAGCTAAAGAGACTCCCCACACAATGACACTCTTCCTGAATGCTTCACCTCACTAGAGATGCATTTATTATTATATTTCTCAGCAGATTTTTTAAAGACCATCTGCTATATACCATCGTTTTTCGTCAAAGAAACACATAATAATTGGGAAGGCTTTTGAACGGTGGAGAGAACTCAAAGAATTGAACATTTTTAAATTGGACGCCGAGGTTGCACCGTTTCTTCTGGACAGGTGAGTAGCTTCTAATGCTGACTTTTTTGTATGTGAACTGTGTGTGAAAATATAATTCTTTAAAAAATATGAGTGAAGCTCAGCTAAAATTGGATAGCTTTAGCAAATATCTGATTATAGGGATTTAGTGTGTGAGTTTTTCATGATGCACGAAGCAGGAGGGAGGGGCGAGCTGACTTGGTTTGTTTGGGATCTCGCTTTAAACACAAACAGAAGTGACGTCACCCACAATCGCTGATACAACCTTTAAGTAGCGAATATTCTAATAAATTTTGCAATCTATTTAGTTATTTTGTATCTGTGAGCAATACCAATTAAAGTGTCTAACCTGTGAAATGTGCAGCCTTTATAGCCCACGGGAACTCCATCCTTCCTACATTGGACAAAAGCAGAGCACATGGTCAAAAGTACATGCAAATCAACAAAACCAGAAAAAGAAAATATGTTTCTTATAGTATGATTTGAACATACTCAAAAGCATCGGTCACAAAACACATAAAAGAAAAATGTAATATGAGTATGTGGTAATATACGTTCAACCGTGCATGTGGTTAAAGTAAAACAACCCTCAATTAACCCACTGAAATCTGAGACTGACTTACTTGAATTCACCAGTGCAGAACTGCCTGAAAGACAGAAAAACAGATTCACATGTAAACTGGCACAAATAAACCAAAATCTAGAACGTATCTTTAGAAGAACCAATAAATTGCCATGCAGTAAAGAAAAGGGTTAAAAAAAATTACATACACACACACAGAGTTTTTTCTGGTGTTTATACATAAATGGATTGAGGAATCTTCTTACCGAAAATTTTCGGCAGTCTTTGGAACAATGTCAGCAAAAAGCTCTATCTTCATTCTGCCAACTTCCTAAAATGTTTGAAAAATTAAAAGAAAAAAAAATGCTGACTCCAAATAAAGAGGCAAATATTAAGTCACATTCAAAAAATCTAATCAAAGATTTGGTATCCTGTGTATGCAATGACAAACAGGATATGTTTTACTTTTAATCATCTGTAAAACCATAACTGTGACGGGAAAAATCATACATACAATCAAACAACCAAGAACACACAATTTAATCAAAGGATGGGAGGCATCTGCTGTGTGCTTTGAATGAATGAATGAATGAAATGTTGATATCCCACAAATGAAAGAACAAGTTCTGAGCTGTCACTCCCACATGGTTTAAAAGAGCTGCATGTTTAAATCCATAGCTGAGAATGTTTGTGATAGTCATGGAGACACTGTTTCCAACAGCCTGGGAATTCTTTGGCCATTAAGGGGTTTTCTTCTATATGCAGTTTTGTCACAAGGGAAGATGGGTTTCGTTGCATGGAGCAGTAATTATGAGCAGTAACAGGTATGACTAGAATGATTACTAGTAGAACCTCTTTAGCCTCGCTTCGCCTGCCAATGTAGGAGGTTAGTAAATACCAGATTTTCAAAAACAGGTTTTTACATCTGAGAGGATTACAAGACCTTTTGCAAGCACAGCTGTTTTCATCACTGATGTGATGATAATCATAAATGTTTCTTGATCATCAAATTAGAGTGATTTCTGAAGGATCATGTGACACTGAAGATGAGTAATGATGCTGAAAATTCAGCTTTGATCACAGAAATAAATTACGCTTTCACATTTATTCACATAGAAGACATTTTCAGTGAAATTTCGTTTCTTGCTGACTTTAGCCATGTTCTTGCAGGTTTCTTTTGCCAAATTGGACTAATTAGCCTACAGCAGCAGTTCGCGCGAGTCTTGCAAACGAGCAGCAGGTAACGTTTAAGCTAATACAGAAAATTACATTTATCCTACCATGCTACTCTAAAAGTTGGGGCAGCATGCAAGTTATACTTAACTATCTATAATAAAAGTATAACTTGATTTCAGACGCATTTTGGGTGACAATGTCATTCTTTTTTTTTTTGTCCAAGGTCATAGCAAGTGTTATTAGCTTGGGGAAATACATCTAGTTAAATGAAATCTTAAGTCCATGTCCAACTCTAAATTGTAAGGAATTTACATCTTTTATTTCATAGTAACGCTTTACAATAAATATTACTGTATTTGTTCATTTTACAACTGTCAGGCTAATACGTTATGTCACAGTCAGTGCATTAACTAATGATAACAAATAAAACTTTTGATTTGAATATTTTAGTAAATGCTGAAATTAATATTAACTAAAATTAACCAATGCTGTAGAAGTGCAGTTTATTATTAGTTCATGTATTTAACTAATGAAACCTTATTGTAAAGTGTTACTGATTCGAGATAGCTAACACTTTCATACATATAATACATATATTCAATTTACATTAACAAAACTAAAAATTAATTTCCCATAATTACCTTCTGGATTCTCACTGTTTTGTTTGGTAAAGTAAATAATATTTAGCAATATTATCATCATTTACCTATTTTCATTTGATGTGTTATGCTTTAATTGGATCAACATATTTTATTAAAATGCCAAGGAAAGAAAGAATAAAAACAAAAACATTTTTAGTGCACTTTTTGGTCCCTCCTTAAAACATTGGTTTTAAAAAAAAACAATGCATCTCCTTCAAAGAATTCCTCGAGCTCTGGTCTCCACCCTTTCGTGGAAGAAAATCTAAGTCTCGACAGAAACGCAAAGATAAAGTTGCATTACGAGTTGCGTTTCTTAAATTGCACAATCTCACGCAATTATCTAATTCCCGGCTCACATGTCATTTCATAATATAGATAGAGCATTAAGAAAAGCATAAACCAAAAAACACACTCAATCCTCACTTAAAGATGGTAATCTTCAGATGGATTGCAAAACCAGAAATGAGGGCTGTAAAAAAGGCAACACAACTTGCCATGTTGCTCAAAGTTCAGAAAGTCAGGACTGCCAATTGTCCAGGGAAAGAATGAATGTACCGGTAAATAGGTGTGGTTTAAAGAGTGTGCTCTGACATTTCATTTTCTCACCTAACAAGACTAGGTAACAGACTCAGTTAAAGATTCTCTTGCTAAGGATGGAGCTCATGAATGATTTTCAAGATCACTTCAACTACAATTTCAGAAGGTATTTAACTCTATTTACTATTTCTATGTACTACTGCTGTCATTATATCACATGACTGCATGGAATAGATCTAGCTATTTGCAAAACTTGAAGAAAGTAACACTGCTTTAAAAAACATTTTTACGTTTTTCTTTTAAGGAATTACCTCTGTCCGTTTGTGAACTGAAGTGGCAGACCACAAAATCCTGCTTGTCAGGTTTGACCACAGGCTAAGGCATTTTCATATCACTCATCAGCACAGCAGTGTTCTAGTTTAACATTTACATTTCCCAGTTTTTTTTTTTTTTTAAGATTTACATTAATACATTTACTATTCAAAACATGTAGGCATTGGAAAACTGCTTTCAAAGTTAAGAAACTAGGCTAGTTATTAATATTTAATGTTAATATAAAAGTTTAGATTGTGGCAACCAACAGCGGCCCATGACTTATATATATTGGACTTATTTCCAACATATTGGAAACCCTTTATTATAACCACCTTGAATCATTAACAAAGAATCAAAATTGTATGACATTTTGTAACTATAAAAAATAATATATAATTAAATAATATTTCTTTGTAAATAATAAAAGTTCATATAAAATGTTATTAATATAACTTATGAGATGCATAAAATACTTTACATGTTGTAATCAGCTGGAAAATTGACATATTCATTAAAGGATAGTTCACTTTGAAATTCATTTTTGGTATGTTTTAGCCAGCGCAGTCTCTCTTATCAATGTTTATTGGGATGACCAAGATGCCATATAACTGTATTCTGAATATTGAAAGTGATGCACCAACACACAGCTTAACAGTGTTTGTGTCCAGACACAATAAACACTGATAACAGAGTATGCAATGGGAAAAAGGAAGGCTTCTATAAAGTAAATGCATTTAATTAGTGAAATATTAAACAAAATATAGTAACGCCCATATAGTCGAGCACACATCACATCAGCGGAAAGTTTGTAGTTCGGTCGGATGTGTCAATGGCAAAGAAAGTAAAAAGCGGTATGTATAGAGTGGTGCAGGAATGACATCACTTTGAAGGTCGAACGACATCACTTTGAAGGTCAAACCACAGAACAGTTAGCATTTTAACACTTCCGGTTCCATCTTCTGAATTCGTGGGACCGTGGTGTAGTTCGTTTAAAGCCTACCTTTAGCCTTTTTAGGCTTCAAAATTCATAAAAGTTGCTTTCATCTGTGATAACTATATTGATGGGCAAAACGTGCAAGTATCATTAAAGAGCACCTATCATGGATTTTTGAAAATGACTGTTCATGTAGTGTGGAATATAGCTCTAAGGGAATGAAAACATCCCGCAAAGATTTATAACTGAAAGTGCACCGTATATAAAGTTATTGTCTTTCAAAAGTAAGAGTCGACTCTGAGTAGGGTTGGGTATCGTTTGAATTTAAACGATTCTGATTCCGATTCCTTGTTTCGATTCCGGTTCCTAACGATTCTCGATTCCGATTCTTCTAAGAGGCAGGGTCAAAAAAGTTTAGCTAACCTTGCTAACCAACGGCCTTTCTGAAGGAAATAATCATTTCTGAAGGAAATACTCCTTCTGTAAAAATACTCCTTTTGTCACAAATTTTGCATTTTGCCGAGATTTTGTTATTTTTAGAAAAGTGAAGCCACACTTTGGATCGCCGACGTAAGGTACTCATGTTTGACTCGCGTGGTTATGCCAACACTTCTGGTAGACGCTTCTTCGTTGGTGTTGTTCAGCGGTTTCTTCTTCCGCTCGGCGGACTGTGAATATCGAAACTAGGAATCGAAATTTTAACTTTTGAACGATTCCGGGAAAAACGAAAAGTTAGTCCCGGTTCCAATCGACACTCGATTCTCGATACCCAACCCTAGCTCTGAGTCTATGAAATTAATTGTTTTTCAAACGAGTCATTAGCTGTTACATCGTGACGTAGATAGGTCATTGGCCGCTCCCAATAACTGCGCGCGTAGACTTGAATTGACGTCTAGAACACATTCAAATACTTCAGCTGAATCGCATCATGTCGAGAAGACGCAGTGTTCTACATTGCAAAGACAGTTCAGCCACTTGTTTCCATTGTCCAGGGATGAGCATGTGAAGAATCAGTTCATATTTGCAACGAGTAGTATTCGCAATCCAGTGTATATGGATCAGGTTCGTCCTCCTCCGAATCACAATCTGTAAGTAATATTAATAATGTTTCCCGTTATGTTTTCTGTAACATGCACAATATAGTTATATTGTGTTGTGTGTGTTGTGTACACTCCGCGCAGCTTCTAAGCGGGGTAAAGTTAGTTTTGTTTTTGATATTCACCAAGCACTGCCCCTCAAAAGCCCCCGCAATGCGAGTTTCGCCGGGAAAGCACGCTCTTTACGGAGACGCGAGTAAGGGACCGTGTGGAAAGTGCACTTTTTCTGACACGTTTGTTCAAACACTGTATACAATTTTCAACACTTGACAAGCTATAATCCTGGTTATGGGCGTCGACAGTCTCTGCCTACGGTTTACCAATAACAACTGACTGGGTCATTTGACCAATCGCCGCAGATTCGCGTCACTCAAAGGAGGTGTTTGGGAAAATGAATCGTCGAACGAATCATTTGGGAGTTGTTGAGCAATTCAGGTAAAAATAAATACATATTATAAGACAAATAAAGTGTTTTTTATCCTTGCATGCACGTTAAACTGTTTTTTGGAACTCCTAAAACAAAAATAGGAACATTTCAAATGCTATGATATAGGGGCTCTTTAACTTTTGTTGGTCAGAGAGCTTGTTTTTAGAGATAATCCAAAAGCCTATGGGAAAACCCACCACTTTGTTAACGTTAACTGACTGTAAAGAGAGGAGAGAGAGCATGCTCTTGATTGCTGGCTGCTATGTAAATATGCCTCTCTTGGTGTGTAACAAAGACAGCGATACATGGGATTGGTCTTAAAGGGACAGCAGCTATTAAACCTGCTGCTGTGTTTTAATGTAAATCAACCAAAGGACAAATAAATAACTTTTGTAACTTTACAAAATTCCATCTATATTTAATTTGTACAGTGATAAATATGCAGTGCTATGGTCAAGTCACCTTCATTTATAGATTAAGATTTTTCAAAAAAGCTTCACTGTGAAAATGTTACAACAAAGTTTGTTTCTAGAAGAAAATTGTGCCATCGTCCACCTTAAGGCAGATCAATAACATTGTAGAATATTAAATATCTCCTACACTTAGCACTGAGCCCTGCTGGAGCTCTAAACATGCACTGTATAGTAAATGAAAGATTAAATTTGATAGAGCAATAGAATGAACAGTGAAAATAACAGAAGCCCATTCAATACATTTTAGCAGGATTCATTAGTATAAAAATAATTGAAGGAAATATAGCCTATATTTGCTAAACAAATTAACATGATTAATATTCTTTTGGATTCTCTACCCAATATACTTAAAAATTACAAATGTGAAAATAACAGTGAAAATACATCGGATTCATTTTGGAAAAAAGTAGCATCGGTGCCTCCATACTTTTGCAGCTTTTTTTATCAGCGACATCATTTCTCTTCATAATCATTTCTGTTTGCTTCTCTGACTATTTCTGGACACTGCAAGTGATGTCAGGCCAATTCACAATGTTCTTTCCTGTGTTATTGCAGACTTTTTGCCGTCAGCATGTCACATTAACAAAAAAAGGTTTTATAGCTGCCTGTTTTAAACCATAGACCATATCTTATCGAGAGATCATGCTCTTATCGAGAGCACCACAAACAGCTCCATGTCTGCTCACTAGTACACCAAACATACAAGATGCAAATACCAATCATGCTGTCTATAGCTTAAATTCCCCCTGCAGTCAAATATTCTATCCCGTAAAACTCAACATTAAAATGGATTTTTTCCTGTGAAATAAAATAGCTTGAATGTAACTCTACAGCCTTGCTTCATTTAATACTCGTGGATATACATGACTACGTAAATGAGGCCCGCATCCACTCACTCATGCAGGGTCGTCTACAAGTCGATGTCTCAGAATAGTAATGTGTTTTATGAATCGCTTTCAACGACGTCAGACACATAACGGTAATTAATATGATTCGCTTTTGACTTGACTACATTATCAAACGTTAATAATGTGTTGCTAATGTTACATGAGTCGGAGGACAGCTGCCATCTAAAAGTCAGCATCCTAAGAAACGCTTTCAACAACTTAGAACGTCACTTCATGTAAGTGCGAGTCGTGTACTTGCGTTTGATTCAGCGAGAACGAGGGCGAGGCCTTGATTTCGCGGCTTTACTTCCTGCTCGCGACTGTGAATGTCTGGTCCCGAAAACGTGTGCAGACTCAAGTTCCAAGATGTCAGCGCCATTTCGAGTCACTGGCGGCTTCAGTTCTCCCGAAGGGGCGTCGTCCATCTTTTTTTACAGTCTAGGGTGTGCGCGCGTTTTTGATGCGTTGTTGGCTGTTTCAACAGATTGGCAAGCGCTCATTGCCCGCTAATCCCTGCGATTTGCACACGAGAACACCCTGACCTCTCGGCGAGCTCAACGGGCTTAAAATCATGTAGTGTGAACTAGGCTTAAGGGAGATCTGTTTTATTAAAGGGTTAGTTCACCCAAAAATGAAAATTAAGTCATTAATTACTCACCCCCATGCTGTTCCAACCCCGTAAGACCTTCGTTCATCTTCGGAACACAAATAAATATATTTTAGATTGAATCTGAGAGCTGGATCAGTCCTATATAGACTGCCTAAGGGACTGGCTCTTGACGGCCCATAAAGTCATTAAAGAAAAGGTTTAAATATTCCATGTGCCTACAGCGGCTCAATTATAAGTTTATCAAGCGACGAGACTACTTTTTGTGCGAAAAAAACATAAATAACGACTTTATTCCACTATTCCATAACTTTCTTATGGGCGCATGCGCGAGAACTGAGACGAGGACGTTCTCATTCGTCTACTTCTTGTTACCGGCTGCTCACCGCTTAGGAGTTTTACCGCCACCTACCGTATAAAATGATGATCCATATATAAGGCGCTCCGGATTATAAGGAACACTGTCGTTTTTTGAGAAGATTAAAGGCTTTTAAGTGCACCTTATAGTGCGGAAAATACGCAAATTGAAAAGCGTATGTACAGCGCGCATCTTCCTCTGCTTGTAAACAGAAAGTTTTGCGCTTCCAGCTATATCAGCACATCATCTTATACGGTAGGGGGCGGTAAAACTCCTAAGCGGTGAGCAGCCGGTAACAAGAAGTAAACGAATGAGAACGTCCTCGTCTCAGTTCTCGCGCATGCGCCCATAAGGAAGTAATGGAATAGTGGAATAAAGTCGTTATTTATGTTTTTTTCGCACAAAAAGTAGTCTCGTCGCTTGATAAACTTATAATTGAGCCGCTGTAGGCACATGGAATATTTAAACCTTTTCTTTAATGACTTTATGGGCCGTCAAGAGCCAGTCCCTTAGGCAGTCTATGTAGGACTGATCTAGCTCTCAGATTCAATCAAAAATATCTTTCTTTGTGTTCCGAAGATGAACGAAGGTCTTACGGGGTTGGTACAGCATGGGGGTGAGTAATTAATGACTTAATTTTCATTTTGGGGTGAACTAACCCTTTAACTTTGACCATTCATTTGATTATTTTGTGTTTTCAGGGTGAACCGACCAAATGTGTAATATGAACTCATCGGCGATGATGGCTGTCATCTTGTCAAAGAGGATGAATGAGAACTTTCCCCATGATGAGACCCTGCAGTACCTGTTAATTCTGTGCACCAAAGTAGCTTTGAACACATTTGTTTTGTGTTTCTGGAGGCATAACATTCTCAAGTCACTCCTGGGGCTCTGCAGTGTCTCAATATACGTGGCAGACGTGCTGTTGGTCTGTGCGGTCTTCGGCGCATGGCTCTTTAAAGAACACCTATCCACCTCTACCTCCATGTGCTTCATCCTGGCTCATGGATCGGCCATCTACGCCCTGCTTCCTCTACTCATTCTCATCGCTGGGGCGTTTGACTACGCCAGCTACCCAAACCTAGACGTTAACCGTAGCTCTCGGAGCAGGCTTGTTGGTTACTGCATTACGGTTGTGTTTATGTGGGCATCAGCCTTTGTTTTCACCTACCACTACACAGACGCACAACCTAAAGAGATTTACAAGGACACGTCGACTGTCCTGGTGTGTCCCGTTTTCGGATCTAACGTAGTTAATCAATTTAGTATGCAGATATCTATTGCAGTGGGTCTCATACTTCTACTTGATTTTAAGAAACTGATAGGTTGGATCAGAAGAGCCAATACATTGGCAGAGCTGACAAACACAAAGTTTGTTCCTCATCAAGACTACACTTATATTCATTTTGGGGAACATGGAAAATCAGAAATTCAAGAAAGTTCCCCTCGTCTCTTTGTCAGTCTGACTCTAGGCTTTGCTGTGAACTGGGTGCCCTACCTGTTGATGTGTTTGACATGTTACTTGGTGGGTTTTATGGTGCCATCTTATGCCAGTGTCAACCTTCTGTGGATGGCCTGTGCCAACAGTGCACTGGTTGGCATTGCCTTTTGGTTCAGAAGTGACAGGATTGGACCTTACAGCAAACTCCCAGATGACACTTGTATTTGGAACAGCTACTGGCACTTGAGCAAAGAAACAACAACTGTGGACAGTGGACACAAAGCTGCCTACAAGAGTAATTGTTCACAAGCCCACTTTACATATTTTCAAGAGATCTAGTCTAACAAGTTTCAAGCTCTTTAAAAACATAAATCACTCTCACAACAACGTGTTGTTAAAAATCAAAAAAATGTAACCGCCCAACTGGTTATCAACAGAGTTTTACTTTCAACTGTTGTTTGGCAGTGTTAGAAAAGTTACATAAACTCAATATATAAATGATTATTATAAGCAGCAGAACTCAAACGGAAAGAGGTACAGGAGATTTGTCTATCAGGAGAGTTTCTATCATGCTATTTTTCTGAGTGTTAAAAGAGAGTAAATATTAAATAAATTAAAGTGTTATATTATGTGTTTTTGCTCAGGATTTATACAGGAGGTGATCTGTTAGTGTTTAATGCTCGGGAATTTTTGGGGGGTACCATTGTGCTGAAGAGTAGAGCCTAAAGTTAGAACGAGGATTGGCCAAATAACATTAAGTCTATATGTCGTTTTATTTATAAAGCAACGGCTATGCAATTCAGCACAGTCTATGCTAATTACTTTAGTACATGCAGTTGTATTTGTACTATTGCTAATAGCAGTTAACAGTAAAAGAGTTGAGTTAAATTAAAGAATCTGATTCTTTAGAAGAATCCAAAGTTAGCTACACAAAGTATGCAAGTTGAATATAGTTTAATAGTTGACTCAAATTGAATAAGTTCACAGTACTCATAAATATTAGTTTGGGCAATTAGTTTCCTCAAATGGATTGAGTTACCTTTTCTTGTTGGGTTTTACAGTGTGTATTAAATAAAGGAGTAAAGACATACAAAATGTGCAGAGGTGGGTCCCCAGGAGCAGGATTGAAAACCACCGACTTCATGTTCGTTATATTAGCAACATGTTAATGTAAATGGAAAAGGATGCTGATACTGTAGACAGCAAGGTTACTTTAAGATTTGGAGTAGAACGTAAATTTTTTGGAAAAATTTCAAGATTTCATGCAAGTTACAACATTGTGGACATTAATCTTTCCATTTTATTTTGGAATACATCAACCCTTCTTTCTTTTTTCACCTCCTTTCTTATCTGGGTATGCCTGTTTTCCACGAATACATCACACTACAGTTAACTGGGCTGCAATGTGTAAAAACATGTTAAATGTCCCTTAGCAACAAAACTCCATTATTTTAAACTTTTTTTTATTTTTATTTTTTTATGGAGGGTTGAAATGAAGGAATGTAAAGCTTTTGGTTATATATATATATAAAACTGACATTATTATTTTTTAAGTGTGTGTTTTGTAGTACTTTCCATGGCAATAAAGTTGTAAAATCAGATATAACTTTTATTCACACTAAAATAATATTGTTTTATTGTTTACATATACTTTTGAAATCATGAGTATTTTAACATTAACTGATTGGCCCTATTTACTTGCATTGTATGTGCCTCACTGGAGATTTGTTTTTTGTTAGACAAAAATAAATATTTTTTTTGTATTTTGTTTTGCTTCAGTTTTTTTAGATTTTAAAGAATATTTACTTGTCCTGGTCCATAATGTTTAAACAAAACAAGAACAGTGTGAGCGTGTGGCTAGGCATAACGGCAATAACCGCATCCGGTCTCGGCAATTCCGCATCCGAGTCGACCCCGGGATAAAATAGTCTGAATATAAACACTTATTATAGGCATACTGTAGTGATTCAGGATAAGTCAAAAACACGGTTTGGAAAATGGATTCATGATGTAGCCTACTCGTTCATTTTGAACATAAGTTACAGACTGCAGCAGCTGATACAATGGCATTCTGTTGCGCAAGCGTCCACTCCAACATGACATCATGACTTTTGCGTAAACATACACGCCACTTTCGAGTCAAGTGGCGTGTTATCTCTATGCATTTTGAGCCATCCACGTGTATGTGTGTATGTCTACGCCATTAACGTCCGAGTGATTCCGTGTGTCTGTACACACCGTCAAATGTCCGCGCGAAACGAAGCAAAATGTAGATCTACATCTGGGGAGCGATCTTTTTTTTTTTCCTAGGATGGTAAGGGAACAGTCATAAATACCATTAACCCCAGTGACGGTTAGGTTTAGGGATGGGGTTGAGGTAAGTTATACATTTATATATACAGTAATAATGTTAAGTCAACGGCGTTCATAAACACGGTGAAAAGCGATTATGCGTCTTGATAGCACGCCAAAAATGGAAATACGAATTGGCGTGTCATACACACGCTACTTCATGAGATCAGTCTGTCCACTCGCACATATGCGACCACAAAAATTTTTAACTCGCACATTCTCAAAAAATGGTCGCAGTCTGGAACCCTGATGTTCTAGAACAGTACCACCCAAATGAGCCTGAAAGAGTACAAGGCCGCGCGGCACCGGCTGTGCACAAAGGCTATTTCTAAAAAAAAAAAAAAAAATTCCAATAATTAAATGTAATTCCAATTTTGCAAGGACAATCTGGCATTTCTAATCAGAGTTTTGTAGCCTGATCCCACCAGACTCTTGTATATTTCATTTGTACAGAGAGTCAGGCCTCGCTCCATTGACAAGCGTTAACTTCCTTGTAGGCGGGTACTCTGTTGAAGTTTAAAATTATTGGATCTGCCCACAGTCCCTCTGGATCTGCCATAACCAATCGCTGACTACTCAAACCACTCAAACTAGCGCACAACATCAACGTCATCGTTCTCAGCCACTCCCTCTGTTCACTGATTGGACTGCTAAAAAATTGACCTGAGAAAACCAAAGAAAACATGACAATCCTAGACGTAGTATTGAAGGAAAATGAAAATTGAGCAGAAGAAAGTAGGAGCCTGGAGCCAGGCTTTGTGCAGTATAAAGTAACGCATATTGTTTGTCATTCTTGCGATCCACAGTGCATAGATGGATTTATAAACATAGTATCCTCTGTACTCCGTTTATAACTACTGTTGAAAGATGACAAAGTTGTAATCGAAATTATTCATACTCCATTGCAATTCAGGTTTATTGGCAAAATTTTCAGATGTTCAGCTATTTGCAATAAACAAATCAAACAAAAGTCATTTAAATAGGTCAACAACAAATGTTTCAAGTGGTTTCTCCAAATTTAAGTGAGAATGCAACTTTTAATGACTTCTGTAGTCTCAAAATTATTTGTTACGATACAAATCTTGGTATTGCCCACCCTTAATTACTGAAGTAAATAACCTATATTACTATATAGTAATACTATACTATACTTCCTATATTATCACTGTAAAGCTGCTTTGAAACAATCTGTATTGCTATTCATACGAAATATGAAGGTGACTTGACTAATATATCGTCTTAATTATATTATCAAAACAATAACAATAAAATTAAAAAATGACCATTATAGGCCGATGTAGATATGTGGTGGTGGTCGATATATCGTGCATCCCTAATTACTGGTGTTGTGTCTCTTGAAACAAAACAATGGCACATACATTGGCAGACTACAAGAACACTAAACAAGCATTGACTTCATGCCCGGCGGACACCTCTTCAAACACCACTCTTGACCAAGAGAACACAAAAGGCTGACTTGAACATGCCAAAAGGGTTTGGATATGCCTGTGGAATTCTGGAAGAATATTTTATGGAGTGATGACCGATGAGACCAAACTGACATTTTTTGGACCCATTGATCAGCAGTTACGTCTAGCACCAAAAAAAAAAATGGTAGGCCTATGGTTTCTGATGAAAAGAACACCGTCTTTAGGGTCAAATATGGAGGTGGGTCAGTCTTGTTATTAGGTGCTTTGCTGCACCATGTGACCAGCAACATTATTTGAAGTACCAGGCCATTTTAGCAAAGATGATGCCTTCAGTGCATAAACAGAAGCTTCACTGGATGTTCTAGCAGGACAATGATCCCAAGTACACATCCAAATGTACCAAAATATATTTCAGGGATGGGACTTGGAATGTTCTTGTGTGGCCTGATCAGTCTCTAGATTTAAACCGCCTTAAAAAAAAGAATTGAAGAAAGCAGTCCAGCATGAAACCAAAGAATATCAGTGAGCTTGAAGCTTTTTGCCTAAGATTCCAGTAGAAAGGCCAAGGGGTCAGAAGCTTGGAAGGACTTCCAGGCAACATTTATTTGAGGTTGTAAAGAATAAAGGATTCTCCACAAAATTTTACTTTTGGGGGCCAATCTTAGAGCCAACTTGATTTGTTTCTTTTTCACTTAACTTCATGTTCTAATAAATCACTCAAATGTGTACATAAATAAACTTTCTATGATGGTATACTGATGCTGCAGTTAAATTCTTTTCAAACAATATTTTTCACAAAACCAGACTGTCTTGCCGTTCAGGGAGGTTCAATCATTTTGATTGCATATATAATATGTAATGAGCTCTAAAAATCAGTTCTTGTGTCAAGAAATTAGGAGCATCCTCAGCTGTCATATTGATGTTTCTGTAATCGTCCTAAGTAAAAAATAATAATATATGTTTATATATACATAGACGTATTTATATATACATACATACATATATATATATATATATATATATATATATATATATATATATATATATATATATATAGCGGTAGCGGACATGTTTAAAACCCGGCGCTAAGAAATGTAGCGTAAATTAACGTTAGCTGATCTGCTAATGAAGACAACGACGTAAATTCAAACTTACTTGCCCTCCAATGGTGACGTCGAAAAACACTATCGGGTTATTGGGATTTGAAGGCTGGACGTTCATGGCTATTTTCAGGCGTATATCACTCCAGACTGTAAAAATATTAACTAATCTTTCCCAATTTTCACACACATGACATGAGTTTACGATTCAAAAACGTTCACCCATGATGTCACTACGGCAAACAAGAGGACTTTCTACGGATACTACCGAGGGACAATTACGACTCAGAGAGCCGAATCCAGCATTCAATCGCATTTGGACCTCGGGATTATTCTTTTTTTTTTTTTCAAGAGTTCCAAAAAAATTAAAAATTTGAAATATAATTAGATCCAGACCATTTTTAATAAAGGTTCAAATAACATAAATTAGTAGTAATTAATATTATTAGTACTGTCACTATGTACCACTACCAACACTACCCTGCCTTTTTAGGCTGTTACTGCCATCTCGTGTTCACACATAAAAGCAGCTGGGTTTACATCTGCTCCTAGAAGCTTTCTAAAACTAGTTTATTTGACTATATATAGTTGATTCGGAAACGTGAATTCATTGATAAATATAAGCCTTCAGAAACTTGGATAAGTCCTCAAAAGATATTGAAAGTTACAATAGTTTGTGTTAGTCTGATTGTGTTGTCTATATAAAATTATGTATTATGCATTCCAATTACATTTAACACAAAAATTACATTTTACACAAAAGCTTTTTCTCCAGCAGTTGTTGTATGTTAGTTTCAACCACCTAGATCAAAACTTAAAAAATATTTACATTTCTGTGAATACTGTCTAATATTTTTGCTATAGATGTTAACATATTATGAATATAATAAAATCACAGTAAGGCACTGTTTTTAGGACAAGATTATTATTATTATTGTTTGATAAACGGGGCATGCTAGAGCAGTCACATTCATTTATAATGGGCAATATGAATGTTGTGCTTTACATAATGTAATTTTATTCCACTTCATTTCATTTCTCCTGATTTCACAATTACTGTACATATTGGTGAATAGACTTTATTAAGATTATATGTTCAATACACATGTGACTTGGAAGATTGATTTTCCCTTTAAATTGTATTTTATATTTAAAAACATTCTTCTCCAATCACTGTTAGTAGGTTGTCACAAGGTTTGCATTGTGAAAGCTTAATAAAAAAAATATATATAAATAAATAAAAAAAACCTTCTTGTTTATGGTCATCAATTCATGAAGTACTAGTAAAACTGTGAAGACCACATGAAATAAATAAATAAAAATCATAACAAACAAAAATAGTACAACAAATATGTTTGTTATATACACATCCTTTATTAAGAGTTACACATATTTTACACTATACATTTATTTAGTCAGCGCTCACTGGAAGTTCCTTCGCGGGGGGGCCGGGTACAACAGGAAATTTGAGTTTTCCAGAAACCTCACTGTAAAACAAAAAAAGAAAATATTAAGAGATTCATGACAATTATTATGGAAAGGTACAATTTTACAGAATTTAAACCCCATTTTCCCAAAAATCTAAATGAAATTTAGACAAGTAAAATTCATTAAAATATGAACATGTAAATGAATACCCTGGATAATAAATGCACGTATAAAATAAACCATGACAAAGTGCTATAGATGTACACAGCTCATAACTTTACATACCACCTGAAGAATATGCAAAATGCTCATAACATTAAAAGAAAATTAGATGGATTCATAAAAATTGCATGTTATTTTTTTACTAGTCTTGAGTGAGCTGTTTTTCATAACAGATATTTACATACACCGATGAACTTTAGCATTATGACCACCTGCCTAATATGCTGTTGGTCCTCCGAGTGTTGCCAAAACAGCGCTGAGTCTGACCCACTGAGGCATGGACTCTAACACAGGGGTCAAACATGTCCTGGAGGAACCCCAGCACTGACATTTCAGCGGAAACAAAGACACCTACATCTTGGATGCCCTTGAGGTAAGCTAAAACATACCAAACATTAATTTCAAAGTGAACTATCCCTTTAAGCAATGCCAACCCACCTTCCAGTTCCAGCTGTTAGGGCCTTCTGGGAAGACATGATCACAGTTGGTGGAATAGACTCTCTGCGTCCATCTCTCTGACAGTAGTAGTTATTTGCAAATTTATGGCTGGGTCCAACAGGCAGTTTGGGAGGTGGCTGAGTCCTACCATTAATGAAATTGATAAATATTAACCATGGATTAATGATTGCACTTACTGTCATCAACTCATTTTGAAAATAAGGTTATTAACCCTCTGATTATCTTCATTTGTGTCTACACTAGTTATCTTTAGGGTCTCTCCAGGAACCCCAGACAATAACATTTAATTTTGTAACAGAATAAAAGGGGTTTTTTTTCTTTCAAATGTAATTTTACTCGGTTTATTAATGTTTTTACTCAACATTTGTGCAGTTTTTTAAGGATTTATGATATCTTTTACATTTCTATAAATAAATAAATATTTATTTATTTAAATAGGCATTTTACCAAAAAAACAGCATTTTATGTAAAATTCGCAATAAAAAGACCAAGAATTCTAACTTTCATTCATGGAGATAACATGTATAATTTTACATGGTTTAATGTAAGATTTTTGGCCCTTTTTTGGAAAATGCAGTTTAGAAAAATAATAATAATAATAATCACTAATCACTTTAACCACTAGATGACTTGGAGCTCCACTATGCTGCCTATTTGCCATATCTTTTCTCAAGTTTTTCCTGTTGGATTCATATGTAAATATTATAAAATCCCGATTATAACAAAAAAAAAAATGTTTTTTGTTAAAAGTTCAGCATTTTCTGTACTGACAAAATTTTTCAATAATGTTACATTAAGATTAGAATCAAACCAAGATGTTACGAAGAGAAATGTTGTAGTCTTTATTTATTTCAGTCATCTGTTTTTAATATTATTCTACAATTTTAATCAACAGTTCAGTTACTAACTGCAACAGAAAAGAAATGAACATTTATATTACATATTGAGTAAAAATACATGACATGAACATTAAAATGCACTGAACTGAACAGCAATAACAAATGATCAAATAGAGCAGTAAAAAAAATTGTTCACAAAAAAAAAAAAACTCAAAAAACTAGGAACAATAATTGGTGGTCTCATCTCATACAGTATCGTTTACAGTGCACTGCAGGCAGTATGCATAGTATAGCCTTACAAATGTATTCCTGTGTGAGAGTGTGTGTGTGTTTGTACGCATTGTGGATGTTTTTTGCATTGTCGAAAGCGTGCAACTTTATTTCTGTTTATTTCTTTTATGTGATCTGCATTTTTGTGACTTTGATGATGAATTTTGTATATTTACTATGCAGGGTCTTCAGGGACCCCGAAGACAAACTAGTGTCACTATTTTTTTTCACGCTAACATAAAAACAGATATCATTCCCATTTTCTTTTCTATAAATTGTTTAGAGCCATAGAAACTTTTCATACCATTTGGACAAAGAGAATTTTTAAAAAACAAATTTGAGTAAAAGTCATTTGCGGGTTAAAAAGACCCCGAAGATAATCAGAGGGTTAAAGTAAATATAAATACATTAATGTATTGGGGAGTTCACATGACAATAACTTTACTGTCTTCAAAGAAAAAGGACAGTCTTTATATTCTAGACAGCAAAGAAACTCAATTTATTTGTTTCACTGCAGAACCATTGAAATGAAGACAACATTTTTATTTTATTTTTGTATTTATACAAATACTTAACATCTCTACCTAAATCTGTTAACTACCCATTCATAAAAGATTATAAATATTAATATAATAAAATGCATTACGTTGGTTTCAGTTAGATAATCCGGTAAGACTTTACAATAAGGTTTCGTTTAGAGTAAACTACTTTAGTTAACATGAACTAAGAATTAACAATACTTCTACAGCATTTATTGATCTTACTTAATGTTAATATCAGCATGTACTAACATTATTAAAATCAAAAGTTGTATTTGTTAACATTAGTAAATGCACTGTGAAGTTGAACTAACAGAAACAAACAATGAACGACTGCATTTGAACTGCAAATAAATACTGTAACAAATGTATAATTGCTCATTGTTTGTTTATGTAATGCATTAACTTTTTTTGCTCTATTGTTTGAATTTTAACTATATTCTTTTTGTAAAGCACTTTGATTGATACCGTTCTATAAATAAATGTATTATTGTTATTATGAACTAATGTTGATGAATGAGTTCTACTGATAATCCATTTCAAGACCCCAAAGTATTATGTGAAATATGCAAATAATATATCTAACGTTACCTCTTTGCAATTTCGTTGTACCGAAGTTGCAGTTTTGATTGGAGATCTTGCTGTTAAGGAACGAGAAAAGTCAATGTAGCCTAACTTACTTAACAAAATATTATCTAGACATGAAAATGGCTGTGGCTGTATTACAGAATCACATCTCAGAATCTGTAACGGTGCTGATAATTTCCATGAGGAAATATATCTTTTTAAACCTTAAGTCAAGAATTATAATGTGAAGTTTCTGTAGCCTCTGGTTACCAACTCAAGAGACAAGCAAGCAAATACACACACGGACGTGTTTCTTTCTAACGTTACCCGTTGTCATACAGTACGTCGAACAGTGCATGACTGATATACGATAAAATCATCATCATCATCATAATCATCATCTCACCCCTGACAAATAATTCCTCAGTCTCTGGATAATTTTCGTAGCCGACGCCATAGTTGGTGTCAAGGTGAAATAGACTGTTCACTATAAGTCTGTTGCTGAATCAGTTTTATTTGAACGATACCCCACAACCATAAAGAGAATGTAAGGGAGTGGAGCTGATCCTGGGTCAGATACTGCAGCATCGAAGGGACCAGCGGGCCGGAAGTCTTTTTCTTATTCTCTGGTTCAGTGACCGTCGTCACATCCGTAAGAGCTGCAGAAATTCGCGCCACCTGTCGAATCAAACGCAAAATAACGCCATTGACAGGAGTAGTTCAATTATAAAAAAAAAACTTTTGCTGATAATTTACTCACCCCCATGTCCAAGATGTCTCTTTCTTTCTTCAGTCGAAAAGAAATTAAGCATTAAAAGGATTTTCCAGGATTTTTCTCCATAGGCCTAACTTATGTAGCCTACTTTACTGGTAACCAAACGGTTCAAGGTCCAAAAGACAGTTTCAGTGCACTGCAAACTGTTCAAAGGGCTTTAAATGACACCAGACGATGAATAAGGGTCTTATAGCGAAACGATTGGCCATTTGAAAGTTTTATAGTTTTATAAGCTCAAATGGTCACCTTGCTCTGTTCTGTGACTGTGATGCGCGTTCATGACTCTCCTGTTCGAACTCGTTTATCAAATGAACAAATCTTTTTCCGAGTCATTTGGTTCATTCAACGAACGAAATGAACGAATTGACTCGGGAAAAGATTTGTTCATTTTGATGAATGAGTTCGAACAGGAGTCACGAACGCGCATCACAGAACAGAGCAAGGCGACCATTTTAGCTTATAAAACTTAAACTTTGTTGTTATTTTTTTTTAATGACTGATCGTTTCGCTTGATAAGACCCTTATTCATCATTTGGAATTGTCTAAAGCCCTTTGAACAGTTTGCAGTTTGCACTGAAACTGTCTTTTGAACCTTGAACTGTTACCAGTAAAGTGGATTATATGGAGAAAAATCCTGGAATGTTTTCAACAAAAAATCTTAATTTCTTTTCGACTGAAGAAAGAATGATATGGATATCTTGGATGACATGAGGGTGAGTAAATTATCAGCAAAAGTTTTTTTTTTTTTAAAGTGAACTATTCCTTTAAAAGAATAGTTCACTTAAAAATGAAAATAATTGTTTTACTCACCCTCAAGTTGTTTCTTTCTTCTGCTGAACTCGAAGGAAGATATTTTGAAAAATGTTAGTAACCAAACAGTTGATGGACCCCATTGACTTCTATAGAAGAAGAAGAAGAAAAAAAAAAAAGAAAAAATACAATGGAGGTCAATGGTGTAGCTACACACTGTTACCAACATTTTTCAAAATATCTTCTTCTGTGTTCAGTAGAAGAAAGAAATTAATAAAAAGTAAAATTATGCATAAATGGGAATATACTGAAAATATAATGAGATAGAATACATTTCCATATGGGAAACTAGTGTTGAAACTAAAATAGGCTATGTGTGATGGTATAGGGGAAAATGACAACTTTTTGTCAAGTCATGGCAACAAGTTGTGAAAAATTAGATGTTACATAAAAAATACATATCAAAATATATAGTTTCCTCAGAATTATACATATTGCACGTTTCCATAAATAGGCCTAGTCACCTATACCTTTATATTGTGCTATATACAATACAGAATGTTTCAACGCTTTACAGTGATAAACAGGAAAATAATAATCAATGATGTAGACAGAATTCGATTCTGCTGTAAAGCAGCGCTAGTAAGACAAAAGTGTCATTGTTCAGCTGAATTCAGTCCAGTGTTGATTCACTTCAGTTCAATAACTGTGTGAGTTCAATTCAGCTAAAGCAGCTCTGAAGAAAACAATCCAGTCAATTCAGCTCTCATCCAATAGTGTCAGTGCATTCAAGGCAATATTATTGCTGAATATTAAGTGTTCCCAACTAAGCAAACCAGAGGTGACAGTTGAAAGGAACTCAGACTCCAACAGGTGACAGAAATGGAGAGAAAAAACCTTGGGGAAAAAAAAAAACATATGGGGGGACCAGTCCTCTGGCTAAACAAATGAACATATTGGAATTATGATTCGGCTGCACTGTAAAAAAAAATATTGTGATTTTAACGGTAAAAGACCAGTAAAAAACTGTTAACAGAACCTTTTCTTACTACATACGGTAAATAACTGTCTTATTATCTTATTATGGTAAATTTCATGTAATTTTCATGTAAAATACCGTTAAATTTGCAGTTTTTAAAGTGAAAATGAACAACCTATTGTAAAATTTACAGAGAAAAAACGTAAATTGACATTCCCACAATTCCCTGTGTGACACTTCACACTTTTGTTGAAATAACTTGTTTCTTCACAGTTTAGTAGACTTAGTAGTCTTCAAAAAAGTAGTCTTTTTTGAATCATAGGGTTTTATGTGACATTTAATGTTGTTAAATTAATGTTTATCGCCTTATGTGTTGATGGTGTTAATTGTTTGAGTGAATGACACATGTGTGCAGCTTACATATTTATTAATATTAATTATTCTTGTGGAAGAGCTGTATTATGAGCTTCCATATATCATGTGACTCTCATCACTGTGATTGTTGGTTGTCAGTATTACAATGGTACAAAACAGATATTAACACTTCAATTGGCTGATAATTTAACATTTTATCAGTTAATGAAATATGGTTTATTTCTGTAAATTTAAGTTAAGTCTGTAAAACCTTGTTACCGTAAAAGTCTTGCTATCGGTAAAGTTCTGGCAACCACAGCTGCCGGTATTTTACTGTAAATTGAACACATTATTTTTTAGAATGCATCACACAAGTCAGATTGTGGATTGATATAATTTAGAACATTTCATCTGATGTGGGGGAGGAGGTGAATATTTATTGATAGGCTACTGAATATAGGCCTACATATGTTTAAATAGCCTATATAGGACCGTATTTTATTACATGTATATTGTCAGTTTCAGTATAAAAGCAGCATTTTCGTATCATTCAATATATTGTAATGGATTAACACAATATTATTTGGTAGTACATTTTCAAAAGGCCTAGCATGAAAAAATTGTAAATTAAATGTTCATATAAAACACTAATCTGTCTATAGTTCACATACAGTCCATATTAGATCTGTTACTGTTGTTATAGGCTAGAACAATGCCTGAATAAATATGAATGAAATAAGCAATGAATAAATATTATGGCCAAACCCTGCATAATATATATATATATATATATATATATATATATATATATATATATATATATATATATATATATATATATATATATATATATATATATGCACATTTACTTAACACATAAGAGCACATCTGCCTAGCTGCATGTATGTGAGAATTTGGGCCCCTTGCATTCAATAATTGGGTTTCTTGGGGAATTCCAGTCTGGGATATTCAATATGTGTGCCTGACTCAGATCGGTCTAAATGTAGAGCTCTTGAACATGAAGATTACGACGTAGTTACATGGGTGGGAAGAAATCAGGACCACCCATTCAAAGCGATGCCAGCAGAAGACACGAGCGCCGCCCATGAGCGCGAGCGATAGTTCAACACTTTATTTCAACTGGATCCCGCCACACACCGTTAATAATTCACCAACTCGGAATGAACGCTAACTACTGCTCGTCTGACGGATGAAAATAAAGCAGCACATATCCGGATTGTTATAGCGCAACAAAAACTAAATAGCAAACTTCACCCAAAGGGTAAGAACATTTTCTTGACTTCCGAAAAGTCTGCAGACTATCAGCGCTGTTTCTTTAAGAACCAGATTGTTCTTACGTTGATGATAGATAGGTTTTGGTTTAAAATAATCGATTTAACAATGATAAAGCTTGGCTGTCACTGCCATAATTTGGTATTTAATAAATTGTATCGCAGCCTTCATGAGAGATATAGATACGGGACTTTATGCCTCTTTGACTTTTTATTTATTTATTTTTTTGGCACGTTTAGTTGCCTATTTTCTAATTGGAGAACTATTAGATATCTTAGGCCCATATAAGATAAAATTAATTTAGTTTTTGTGTTTGCAAATGTATTAAATGAATAGGAAGATTATAGGTTTATCAATAACGTTTGTGCCAAACAAGCTTTTGAGTGATTAAACTATAGTGAAGGGTTACATCTCAAACCCTTATCTGAAGTTTTCTTTTATTAAAAAAAAAATGAACCTGATTTCTTTAGTGTAAGAAAAATAATGTCACGGAAATCAGGTTTTTAATTTGTATTCAAACATGCCCTTAATTAACAGTATTGCAAAAAAAAAAAAAAAAAAAAAAGATGCATGATAATACAACAAAAAAAAAATGAATAAAAGATATGTTTTGCACCATGCATACTAAGTCTCTTTAAGCGTGCATTACTTGGAATGCAATGAAATATTATTATAAAAAAATAATGATAATGAATGCAAAGGGAACAAAGGGAGAAAACAGTTCAAACTTAAAAATGATGGCATTGCATATGTTCTCGGCTGACAAAACTACTATTAACAATACAGTTTAATGTTATTGTCCCAGCTTGAAAATTAAACTTGCCTCCAAAATACTAAAGAATCACATGCTTCAGGTCTCATGATTCTATTTTTGGGCCATTCCTGTCTGGGTCGCCCCTCCACTTGCCCTTCTCCTCCTACATATTAAGTCGAATACATGTAAAGAATACATTCAGAAAATATACTGTGCTTTCATATCATATCATAATAGTAAAAACTGATTGTTGTGTGCCCCATGGTAAGTAAGGTTGGCTTTTGCTCCTTTGCATTGATTCACTATAAAATGTGGTCTATTACAATCTCATCCTTAATCTAATCTAATTAAATAGTGGGACATGATTTGACTCACTTCCCTGACAATAGTTCTTTGTTCATCCGAATATGTATAAGTTGTTTACAGGCGAATAGAGCCTGCAGTGTTCACAGCAGCATGTTTTAGAGACTTTCTCTTCCTCTAAATCACATTATTTGTCGGTATGTGTGGATAATACCAAACATTGTACTAGCCTGGGAGACAGAGCTCTGTCTGAAAACGTTAAACCAATTAGCACATCACAAAGTTGGTGCCTTTCTATCTGTATGTTTACAGGCATCAGCATAGAACATTTTAAATCGTTTTTTTTTTTTTAGTTTTTTGTTTGTTTTGATCTGTTCTAAAACAGTTCATTTATATGTATTTAGCAGATACTTGCATCTAAAGCCACTTACAAAAGAGGAACAAAAACAATTTGTCAAATAGCCAACAATATTCATAATATAAAATGCCAGACAGCTGAGAAGGTAAAGCTAGGAAAGAGGAGAGATGCAGAATTATACAATGGAGTTCGATGAAAGTCGGTGAAGGGTATTATTTAGTCTCCACATGAAGGTTATCTGAAGGTTTAGCACAACAATAATGACTGCGTCAATTCTTAAAAAAAAGGTGACATGAGAGTGATTTCAGAAAGGAACCATTTTGCAGCCAGTGTGAAGAAAATACAATTGGATGTATAGGAAACTTGTGGCAGTATGAGTCTTTCAAAGCAGCCAATTTTTTACAGTTCACATAGTTAGTATTATTGAATTTAGTGATCTAGGGTTTAGTGACATCAGGTTGTCAGACATGAAGTATGTGTGTGTGTGTGTGTGTGTTTGAAGGGATGGGGACATCAATTCTGTAGTTAAGTCTGGCATGAAGTTAGCAAAATGGTAGAAATGTAGGCAGAGAATTTCATATGTTCCTTGTCTTAGTTGATTCCACAAACTCATGTGCAACTATTAGGGGTTTTATGGTATGTATTCGTCCTGGGGTGTGTTTCCCGTACAATGACGTAGTTCACTGCTTCACTACCATAGTATGATGCATCGTTGGAATTTATTTATGTATTTATTTATTTATGTATGTATTTCAATGTGTTGTTTGTATTTGCAAATGCTGTCAATAAAAAAAAAAAAAAAAAAAAAAAATGATGCATCGTTGGAAAAATCAACTAGCTAGTCATGACTGTTTCCCGAAACCCACTGTCGCAAAGTATCGTTCAACCACGTTGGTTTCGCACGTGGTGGAGTAATAACTACTTTTAATGAAACGGTTTGAGATCCAATTAACGCTAGATTTGTTTTATATAAATTACAGACATGTAATTTGAGGACTATTTCTAATTGTTCTCAGTTGTTTTGCTTTATTACCAGACTCAATATTTGGCTCGTTCTTACATAGTAGAGCACATTCGCACATGCGCACTCTTCAAACACGTTACTTCAAATCTTTTGCAAAACTAAAAGACGTAAATTACATTTGTATGTATTATAAATAAAAGGCACCGGTTGTACTGAATGTCAGCTTGCTTATATTGCTCAAGATAAGGATTTATTACGTCCAAATGTGATGCAATATAGAAACGATGCCTCTAACCACAGGTCTAGAGCTGTCGTTCAAACCACACAACTTTGCGATGCTATTTGCGAATGTTCGTTGGAACGATGGTTTCGGGAAACACCGACTCGTTAAACTATGCAGATAACGACGGAACTTGCAACCATAGTTGGCTAACGATGCTTGCGGGAAACGCACCCCTGAACGTCAACGTGTATGCAGTCAGATGAGTCATAGTCACTGGAGAATCCACACTCCTATCCAAAAGGTGGCGCACTTGGTAATGCAACGCCATTTGCTAACTGTCATAACAGGAAAAAGAGCAGAGTCCCAATTCGCATACTATCCATCCTAAATAGTGTTCGAAAATAGAATTATTACGTCCCAAAGCGTAGTATGTTGAAATGAGTGTTTCAAAGATACCCGGATGGTCTACTATTTCCGGTCAGAATCCGAAGTAGATTGATGCACACTCTAACGGCTGATATTGCCCACAACCCATCGCGCGTTGGACGAGGATTCCTTTAGAACTACAATACGAGGGAAAAATGTTAAGAAACTACAGACATGGAGGAGTTATGTTGAGAGGTTTATATAAAGAGGTTTGAGTGATTAATTATCAGTATCTGACCTAACAAAAATGAATTTATTCAATGTTGTCCAATGTCCACATTATATTGCATCTGCAGCAGCATTGTGACCTTTTGTAAAGATACGTTAAGCCATTACCTTTTAAAATGCATCATTTATTCAAATTGCAAACACGAGGAGAGTCTCCGCATGAAAGATCCACGCCTGGTAGATCAACGTGCTCTCTGAAATGGTAGAAAATCAAATTAGATTGAATGGAGGATTTTAACCGTGACAAGGCACGGCACGCGACAGAGCTGTCCGTTAAAGATGACGTGATAGTATGTCCCAAAGTTTGCCTACTCTTTTGCTACACATTCAAAAGTATGTACTTTTTCTTCACAAAAAGGGTTAGGGTGTAGTACAAATAAGCGAATTGGGACGCAGGGAATGACTTGAGCGCTTGAAAACAAGTCCCCTAGATAGTGTGCATGTGTCGAATGCATCTGCACACACGGACAAAGGAGTATTCTTTGAAAGGCTCGCACTCACTATCAACGAGTTGCCTATTAGCATATTAGGATATTGTCTGTTACTACTGTATAAAGCATAGTACCGTATTAATACCTATTCTACATGACTTAATCCTATACCTAAACTTAATAACCTTACTTACTAATAAGCTGTAATTATGGGTTTATTGAGACAAAGGTTATAGTTAATAGTTAGTTAATAGTGAGAGGTGGACACTAAATTTAAGTGTGACCATTTTTTTGCATTGTACCGAAGTCGTATCGAACCGTGACCACAAAACCAAGGTACGTACCAAACTGTGACTCCTGTGTAGTGTTACACCCCTGGCGACTATCAAACTTTCTCTCTTGCACTACTTGACACTTGAAATGATCTATGAAGTGGAAGAAGCATACTGTCATACCGTTATGGGAGAGCTATGCCTACCCTGAATTTGACAGGATCAAGTTGTAAATAGACTCATGTAAGATCAACCTTCAGCTTGTCAAGGCCAAGAATAAACACACATAACGTGCTAGATATAATGAACTGAACATTCTATTCATTAGATGTAGAGGTAAGCTTGATTACAACTTCGTATATAGATTTGTCACAATGAATACTGACACATAGGCCTACTATGCATGCTACGTTGTTGCCTGTAGTGCTACAAGTCAAAAGTGCCCAACCTCAAGTATCTATGGCATTTTGGTGTCTGTGACTGGGTTCCCTCCTTCAAAAGTGACCTCTTAAAAGTAATAGCACTCTTCTCCTAAACAAGCTGCACAATTTGAGGTATTATTCATGTTTTAGCTATCAAACTTATGTATTGCAATATGCATATCACAATGGATTGCAATAACTGGGCTCATAAACAAAAGACATGAGACACTCACATAAGAATCAGTGTACGTTTAATACAGTGTTTTAATGTATTTTTCTTCAATATCGTGCAGCCCTATTTATAGCACGCACAGTGTGGGAAATTTACATAACCTGATGTTTGAGGATGAGTAGTAATAGCAGTGATGCTTGTTGACTCCACTAGTGTCTTACTGGCCTTGAGAATCGTTTTTTACTTGACTAAAATGAGTTTTTTGTTTTTCACAGAAAGAGTCCATTTTCTGAAGTTGCTTTTAGGAACAATGGAAGGATGTTGCTGTTATTGACCAAACTGTGTCACAGCAGCTTACGGAAGCGGCTTGTACGGAAGCGTATTGCATTCACTTGAGGATACAAAATCTATTCTGTTTTTCTGATTAATGAGTTAA